AAAGAAACCCCACCACAAAAAAAAACCTTTTAAAAACCCTTCAATTGGGGGTTTTCCCCCCCCCCCCCCCCCATCAGCTCCTAGTGAATACTTACAGCACTTAAAGACAGAGAGAGTGTCTGCAAAATATCCAACATGGTCTTTAGGACTCTACCACTCCACAGAAGATGAGGGAAGCTTTTAAGGGACACAAAAATTAGCTGAGACAATTATTTATTAAAAATCTGAGCATATATAAACCAAATCGACTCACGTTTCAGCCAGACCAGAGAGGTATTTGTCTGCCACCCTGCGGATTCTCTTGTGAGTGTGGTTAAAGTTGACCAATAAGAACTGAGCATGTCGCTCCAGCTCCTCTTCATGCTCTTTAGTTTTTGGCTAAAACCAGAAAAAATACAAAAATGCTCATAATCCCAAACTGAAGAATTAAGTGTTTGCCTGTTCTGAAATTACTCTCTTCTACCTTTTCAGCCATCATCTGGAGGAAGACATCAAATACCTTATCACCCACACAAATGATGCACTGCAGCATTCCTACAGGGAAAACATTGAGTACAGGAAGTTAATCATAAACGACAAATAACATGTGAACTAAAGTGGTTTAAGCCCTCACCAGATTTATCTTTTTGGATGGCTTTGTCCTCAAAGTACCGAAACATCACCTGGAACCTGTCAGCATCGTTGGATCGGGACATCCTGACAGTAAAAGTGTAAGAAACCTATCAAAGAACTGCACATACCAATTTTAACATATCAAGGAGGAGACATGACAGGTGTAAAGGCAGATGAGCTGACCTCATGTATTCTAATCGGTAGACAGAGAGCAGGTAGGTGGACATGGCGAAGTCCAGCTTGTTGATGAGGACGGCGCCTTCAGGAGAAGGGTCGAGCAGATTGATGATTGTGGATCGCAGATCACTCAACTCGGCCTAGAAGACAGAGGTTCACAATCCAACAACCTGCTGCTGCAGTTTAATCAAATTTAGAGCACGTAGATATTTAAGAGTGTACCGGGGTCACTGTGTCATTTTTCAGAGCTGAGTTGTACTGCAGCTCAGAACGAAGAGGCTCTCCACTTGGGAAGGTAAGGAGAGGAGATTTTGTGGCGATTTCACACACGCCTTCGTACCATTCCTCTGGCCAAAGCCCTGAAAACACAGCACATAAAATATATATATGTATTAACAAACTAATGGAATAGACCTACATTGACTAAGCATATATCCATGACAGTAGTTTTGACAACCACCTTTAGCTACAGTAAATTCAAGTCCCATCTCCTGTATGACCATGGAATCATGGAAGACTTTTGGCCCACAATTCTTTCACAGATTGCTTTGCTTTTTTCTGCACAGATTTATTAAAGATCCAAACACATATTTACAATCAAACTGAGGCTTACAATTTGAGTGGGTCTTTGTAATATGTCGATTTTGGTCTTTTTGGCCCATATTTTTCTAAATAAGCTGCTCTGTTTAGGATCCTTGACCTGTTAATGACTCAGCTGGGGCCAAACTTCAGCTGTCAGAGAGATAGCTTCATATCCGACACTAGAATACTTGTGATTAACTCTTCATATGGTTTTGGTAACTTATGGCCAATAAAGAAAGCCAAAATATGAAACTGTAAGTGTGAACTCTTTTTATTTTAGGTCCTTCAGAAGTGCTGAAGTTTTGCAAAGATGATGAATGCAATAGGAGTCAATCTCCTGCTCACCTGATCCTTCCACAGCAAAACCCATGACCACAGAGTACAACCAGAAGTCCCTGAAAAGCTTCTGGAGACGAGGTTTGGCCTCCTTTATAGGTGGAAGGCGCCTGGTCAACTGTAAGTTTGAAAAAAAAAAAATTAAAAAATGATGACAAATCTAGGATAATTACTACTCCAGAGGAATAAGTTTAACTCTTCCCAATGCAAACAGCTAAATGCAAGAAACAAGTCAAACAAAGACCTGCAAATTAGACAAAAAGTTTTAAAAGGACATGTCAGCATAGAGGAAATTACTTAATTAATAATTAATCAGAATAAACATTTTTTTAACAAAGGGATGAACTGTGAAGAGTTAAAGGTTTTAGTCAGTCAGCGGACTTTTTGGACTGTTTGATCTGGTCTATTTGTTCAAGAGAAGCACACATCAAAGTTCAGTTTTGAATTCTTCGTCCTACAAACAAAATCAGCACAAAACTTCCCACCAGTCACAGTAAAGGTAAGACACTTTGCAGGCTGCTAATTTACACAGAAATCCTTAGCTTTTTATCTTGTTGTTTAGTAGAACCTATTTGTCAGATCACTGAAAAGTTTTGCTCTAGACATTTTATGTGCTCTGCCTTAAGGATGTGGGTGTTCACCGTCATTTCTGTGGTGTGTTTGCTGGCCAGTCCGTCCCTGGCCGGCATTAAAGAGCTCAGTTCTCACTTCAATGACCCAAATCCAAACCCTAGAGGCTCACAGCCAGGTAGTCCAGTGGATGTCGAGGCAATTCCTTTGGACTTCCACAAAGAAAACACCGTCACCAATGACCTCGTTTTCGACGGCTTCGAGGATGAAGATTATATTGACTTTGATAAGATCCTGGCCGCAGGAAGTGATGATTACATGTAAGTTTCAGGGGATTTGTTTGTGTTAGATAACTAATTGAGAATAACTTTAATAATGGGGTATACACAATCTCAAACCAGTATATTTTAGGACATAAATTCCAGTTTAATTTATTTTGAAACATGCATTATGAATTTAATCATTTTCAGTGAGGGGGATGAGATCGACGAGATAGCCACACCGGCCCCAGACATCGACATCTTTGCCGAGTCGTCCGACCCAAAGATTCGCCGAGCCAGACTCCTACGGCTCTTCCATGGTCATTCTCGCCTTCAGCGCCTCAACATGGTGAACGCCCGCTTTGGCTTTAATCTCTACAGAAGTATCCGCAACGACGTCAACCAGACTGACAACATCCTGCTGGCGCCTGCTGGGATCTCCATCGCCATGGGGATGATGTCTTTAGGTGCTGGATCTGAAACTCACCATCAGATCTACAAAGCCTTGGGATTCGCAGAGTTTGTCAATGCTAGTCATCACTACGACAACACAACAGTCCATAAGCTGTTCAGGAAGTTGACGCACAGGCTTTTCAGGAGGAACTTTGGGTACACGCTCCGGTCTGTCAATGATGTCTACCTTAAGAAAAACGTGTCAGTAAAAGAAACCTTCCGCACCGAAACGAAGGCCTATTATTTCGCCGAGCCGCAGTCAGTAGATTTCAGAGAGCCAGCGTTCCTGAGCAAGGCCAACCGGCGCATTGAAAAACTAACCAAAGGGCTGATCAAGGAGCCGCTTAAGAGTGTGGATCCAGACATGGTGCTGATGCTACTTAACTACCTGTACTTCAAAGGTGAGAGAAATACAATTTTACAATGAAGTAATGTCAAAGCATGAATGCCAATGACAGTCTTTGGTCCTTGTACAAACAGGGACGTGGGAGCAGAAATTCCCAAAAGAAATGACTTACTACCGAAACTTTAGAGTTAATGACAAAACAAACGTGCGCGTGCCAATGATGGTGAACAAGGGGAACTACCTGGCTGCTGCCGACCACGAGCTGGAGTGTGACATCCTGCAGGTGGGTGGCTTTATACAGATTACAGCTGAACAATATCAGGAGAATTGAGATAATTAGTTGAGTATTCCTAGGACAACTATTAACCCATGTTTTTCTCACCACTCTCTTTCCTCTCCATCATCATGAGGCCATGTTATGATGATCCCACCATTTTCCATGAGCTTTAGCCTTTTACCAAGATGTAGATCAGGTGTTGGTGTAAAGGACAGTGGGACTTCATCTGACTGAGCTAATAAATCGAGTCATAGGGTATGAATGCAGGATGTCTGAACAGTTATAGCCTACCAACTATTGCACTCGCAATATTACACATGTTTTCACTCAGTGAGTCAAAAAACAAAATCTTGATAAGTGAAATGCTAAAATTGAGGTGTGATGTGGCAAATCAAAGATAAAGCAACAACTCCACTTATCAAGCATTATTAGATTTTTGTCCTCAGACAAAAATGGAAGAAATTCAACAAGGAAAAAAATGTCTGGAGAAGCAAAGTTTTTTCCAAACTCATCCAGGCCCAAGAAACATTAAAAGCAAATTTCAGAATTTTCAGGACTGCTTAAGGACTCCTCTATCAATAAATATCCAATCAAGTAAAATCAATAAATAACTTCATAGTAAAGATGTCTCCTTTACAAAAGTGGGTGAAAACAAATAGTTTTTCATCAGGAATTTTAAATTGAGTCAGAGCAGGTCAAATGGGCAAAGGCAGGTTGGTTTTAAGTCTGAATCCAAGAGGATTCAACAGTAACTGCTTCGCTGTTCTTAAATTAAATGGGCTGGAGGACAATGTAGGGAGACTAGAAAAGCTGCAATGTTGGTTTTTCTCGCCTGTTACTGTAGCTACAGTTTGTAGACTGATGCCTTCATGATGACCGATTGCCCTGAATAGTTGTTACAATGACAATGGAGATTGAATATTTTGTGCAGCTCTAATCTTTATATTTAACAAGAATGTCTGACAAGCACACAAAATAATCCATTATAAACTAACCAGCATATAAACCTTCTTATCTTCAGCTTCCATACACAGGAAACATCAGCATGCTCATTGCTTTGCCAAGGAAGATCACTGGCATGAGGACGCTGGAGCAGCAGATTTCACCAACTGTTGTCAACAAGTGGCTCAAGAACATGACAAACAGGTTGGTCACAAGCAAATATTTAAAGTGACCGTATTTGCCGTTTACAAAGCAGTTCATCACTGCATTTACCCTTTCACAAATGGACAGAAAGAAATAGTTGTGACGTTGAGTAATCACTGCAATAGGGACTTACTGGAAATGCAAGAGAACATTTAAATTTAGCAGCTGCAAAAACGTCTTTAACAGTATGAACATTTAATAGAAATGTCCTGTCACAGTAAATAAGCTGTTAACAGCCTGTGCAGCAAAGACATGCAAAAAACAGGAAGATCTATTATCAGACTAGTAAAACTGTTTATATCTTCAGCAACCGGGTAAATATCAGCAAGGTAACACAATATTTACTGCTGTTGAGTAATAAACTTTTCAGTGGAAATAGTTCAGATTTAGTTGTGCTAAATTGTGACGACAGCATCCATTGTCTCTGCCAGGACTCGCGAGGTCTCGTTACCTCGCTTCAAACTGGAGCAAAACTATGACCTGATTGAAAATCTGAAGGAGATGGGGCTCACTGACATTTTCAAGGAGAGTGGAGATTTCAGTGGAATGACTTCAGAAAAAGTTGCCTTGAACTGGGTGAGTAAAACAGAGCAATGCCAACATCACGGTCTTCACCATCTTTTTATATTCTGAAATATTTAATGGCGCTATTGCAGCTGAAGCACCAGGGAACCATCACTGTGAACGAGGAGGGAACAGAAGCTGCTGCCCTGACTCAAGTGGGGTTCATGCCGCTCTCCTCTCAGATTCGCTTCACAGTGGATCATCCGTTCCTGTTCCTGATCTACGAGCACCGCACAGACTGCCTGGTGTTCATAGGCCGGGTGGTAAATCCCTCACAGAACTGATCTTCTAAACAATCTGAAACAACTTCTCAGGAGTCTCGTTTCTTTTTCTAAAACAATTTAGACTCAGAATGAACACTCAAACTTCTTCAAATTGCTCAAAGTACGAAGTCTGTTTGATTGGCTCACTGAACGCTTGTTATCTGTCTGTTAATGTTTTATAATTTACAAGGTGGGTGGAGAAGTGTGCAGACATTATTATGTCTCTGTAGATACTCTAATGCTGTACCATGGAGGTTTAAAACAAACTGTAAAAACACCACATATGTTGAGATAATAAAATACATAAAACCAGAAAAGAGAATAAAATCTGTTTTTGTTAAAATTCTTCTTTAATGAAGAAAAGTGTCTAAATTTGTTTTAATAACTTACTTTGAACTAACCTAAAACTCCTGAGGTTAACATAATGACAAAGTATTGCTAGATATAAACATATTTAGTAGGTCAGTTTTTAATACAAAAACACAAAGAAAGCATCAGATTGAATTTTACAACCACAATGTCCTTACAGAACTTTAATATTCTTCCTACACATGCAAATTTATGCTCACAATCCCCAACATATCAATGTTTTTATTACCCGGTCAGAGGCTGCTCTGCTCAAAATATGTTTGCCTCAGTCTTACTCAAGAAATTATCTCTTACATGATTTTTTAATTATTATTTTCCCCCATTTAGAAATTCATAAAGCTTGAAAATAATACATATTTAGTCATAAATCTTAGTATTGATTCCTTTCTAAACTTTTGATGTTAATTGATTTTTGACACCTTGAATTTAAAACGGCTGCAGTCATGAGATTGATTTTGTTGTTTATTGTTTTTGATTGTTGTTATTTTTCTTTTTCTTTAAGTTAAAGTAAAAAATTTTACTTTGGGAATTAAGTTAAAACAATCTGAATACCAACCGTCTCTAAGCACTTACTTACCACAGCTATGACTGGAATAAGAACTCCAAGGTTCCCAGCACTGCTGGATGCCTACAGAGAGAAAGAAATTATTGACATAAAAAAGCAAAGTGTATTTTCCTTTTGTGTTTGGATGCTGAGGCAGTGGTGCACACACCTTCAGTGCTGTTCCCTTGTCAGAGGCCCTTTCACTTGCTCTTTTTCCTTCTAGTCCCAGTTGGACAAAAAGCTCTAAAAGGTTCATCAGCAGCTCGTCCACCAGTTGCTCCCCCTGCAGGTTGGCTGCGATGTTTGCTAAAGCATTGATCACAGCCAGAGAGCAATGCCTTGAAGGGAAAAAGGTTGGATAGATGAAAAAACGCCTGAGAACAAGCTAAAGTCTACATAAACATACATTATTTAGGGCTAAAATTACAAACTGTCCCTTAGTTAAAAACATAATGAAGTTACTGTTTCAAGTTTCTTGAGAGGCCAAAGAAGAAGTTTAATGGCAAACGATAAACCTCCAATTTGAGAATTTAAAAGGAAAAAAAGCTCTTCCCTCATTAAAATCATAATACAGTTTAATCTGGTTTTCATTTTTTCAATAACTAAACTGAAAGACCTCTGCATTCAGAGGACAAGTAGTGGAAAGTTAAAGTATATCATATAAAGAGAAGAACAAACAGTTCTCCTGTGAGAGACTGGAAACATTGGATGATGGTAAAGCCATGAAATGTAATCCTTGATATCACGTTCTTTGAGGAAATTTAATTTGGAGTACTTTACACTGAGAGGGGCCTCTTCTAGGTGACTGGGGAAATTTTAGTATCCAACACATTGGTAAATTAAATCTGATACTAAAATAATAAAATCTGATACTAAAATATCAGGAACATGATACAAAAATATTTTTATGATGCGTCCTGACCTGTAGCCATGATCTCTGTAGTCTTTGGTGGCTGAGTAAACCACAGAACTGGCTTTCACACTGATCTGCTGAAACAGATTCCACACCTCCTGGTAGATGTACGGCTAGAAGAAAAGAGAAGAGATAACATGCTAATCAGTGAACCGCAGATCTATTTTAAACTCCTAAATGTAGTTCATCACCATCAACACTGGCTGGTTATCACAAGATACCCTATTAAAAACCAGCTGGTGTGTCACATATTCAACGGGTGAGCGATTAGATAACACCCACCAGATGCACAGGAATAGCAATACTCAAGTCCATCTTGTGACAATATATGATCTTCCTCCTCTGCCACCAAACACACATGTTGAAACTCCATGCACTTTTACATTAATTAATCTAAACTTTTTATATTCCCTCTAATCCTAAATAGATTGAATCTGGTGTAGAGCTGTATGATCACTTTGGACTCACATTCCCTGTGATGACCATGCAGCCCAGTTGGTCTATGATGAGCACGTCCAGCTGGGAAGGAGGCTGGCAGAACTTTTGTTGAAGGATTTGTAAGATGTGCTCCATGACTTTAGGAGTGTCTCTGAGAGCGACTGCAATATGACCCAGCGCTTTGATGGTGTGCTCTGGAATTAGATGAGCATCCCTGAGAGAGGCAAAAGTTATATTTTTAAAGCCATTCCTCTGAGTCACTTTCATTTGAATGTATTCTGGGTGACTAAACCAGATTTCCTAAACTTCCTGCTAGAGATGCAGCTCACTTGTCATTCTCCTGTGAAATGTACAGACGGTTGGAGAGACTTGCTAAAAAGGCCTCTACGATCACGTGGTCCATCGTCAAACCGGCTTGGAGACATCTGAGGGGGAAGAACAAACAGAGTGAACACTGACAAAAAAACAAAAAAAACCCTCAGAAGTTCAACTCTCAGATGTGCCTGGTGTGTTTTCATTTTACCTGCAGATGTTATCGATGGAAATGTCTCTGAGCTGCTCGTACATGGAGGGCTGGTCTCTTTTATTTGTGAACAAGTTGACGGTTGACTGACTATACTCATTCGTCACATTTATCCTAATTTCTCCTGTGCCTAAAGAAAACAACGGGTGTTAAATGTAAGAGGTAAACTATCAGTAACCAGGCTGTGCAGATAGTACAGGCAAAATCAAATCTGTAACCTGAAATGTACTGAATCTGTAACTGTTCAGATCAATGGTGGATGACCATTAAAACTGTGACTGGTGCTGTCTGTATGTCAATGTGTAATTAGTCAGACTAATTTATCCTCTTCGCTTTCAGCCAAGACTTTTGTATTTCATAAACTGGACCTCTAAAGCTTTTAGTGTGTTGTTTTATGCTACGCACAGAAATATTATACAGCACCCTCCTGACCTAAATCCTATAAATACATAAATTATTTTGCTGTAGTGTAGCAGCATAATCTGACATAAAAAAAAATGTAGGATTCAACTTTTAAATTTTCACTAAAAATACTGGCATCACAAACAATCTCACAAAATAAATCTTATGGAGGAAGTTTTTAATCTATAATTATCTCTTCGCAGATGATCAGTAACCCTAGGAACTATAAATTAGTAATCCATTACTTTCTGTTTTCCTGAGGTATAGATATGATGCAACACCAAGGCACATTTCACCTAGCCACTCTTCAGAAGAGAAAACACTAGAAAAACAATCCCATTCAGGGAAGGCGGGTAGGTTTTAATCTCATCAAGACAGGGAATGGCAGTAACTAGACAGTTACTTGCCTAAACTTGCCCGCAGTGAACATCAGAGTAATAATTGAAAGTTTAAAACAACTGGAACAAGACGAGCAAGACTGGACGAGGACCCGAGTTTGTTTTTCTTCCGCAAACAGTGGGAAGGATGGAGAGAGGTTAAATAAAATCCAAAACAACCTGTCTGAGACTTGCAGCAAAAACATGCTGTCTTGGAGTTCGCCTTGTTTCCACCACAACAAACCAAAAATGTGTCTGGGAGGCCTGCCAGAAAACAACCTTTTCTGTCCTTCCATTACAATTACAAACATGGTGTTAGCTTAACACTAGTAGGGTTTAATTGGGTCTATGGTCAAATGATATAAAGGTTTTAGGCTTTTCAGGAGCAACACTCCAGGTGGGCTCTGAGTAAAACACAAAATAATGTTGTAAAGAATAACAGTACAGAGGAGGGTCTGTTTCTCCCCTAAAGATCTTAGGAATCTTGTTAGAAAGACATGACAATATGAAGTCTTTGAAATACCAGGACATTTTAAACAAAAAAACAACAGGTGGACTGTGACAGAAAACCTAAAATGTGTTGTATTTTGATTCTTTTTGCAGGATATTGATCCAAAACATAAGGCCAAATCAACACATAACAAAAGTCATTATGTTTAGGTGTTTTATTTGCTGTAGTATTTTTTACCCAAGTGAATAAATGTACATTAACTAAGAACTGAATTTTTCAAAAACTTTCAAAGTAATATTTTTGTATATGAGGCTTAACGCTACATTTATATTAAAGGCCACAGTGGAGGACAACATGCTGTATAATCAGTCCACTCTGGAAAAAATAGTGGTTTAAACGCATCGCTGAAACACTAAAGTTGAAGATACTCAAACCTGTGATGGTGGATGTCAAGTTCCAACTGGCACTGTAAGTCAGGGTGTTCCCTTTGAAATGGGATAACCTGTTTTTTTTGGAGGAGTGTTGTGTTTTGTTTGTTTTTTTTGACACATCTTCACTGCCAATAATTATTAAGAGTTCTGTAAATTTCCATGTTAGTTAATCAAACATTAATCCTGAAAAGTCTGAGGTCAGGAAGAAGCTGGATCTGAAACAGTCTGTGTGTATGGTGTGTACCTGTGCTGCATTGGCTGTGATATTTGTAGAGCTTAGTAAGAACCGGGGAAGGAATGACCAGAAAATCCTTCAAAGAAGTCGATGCAGAGTGGGCAACAACCGGAAACCTTTCACAGAGACGTCCAAGACCCTGGGAGAGCGGACAAGACAAACCAAAGCAATGTAAATGACCAGCTCTCATCCAATGACTAGTACTTTGTGTGCCATATTCCTCTTACTCTGTATGTATTTTGTCTATATACAAACCTGCAAGCAACAAATGAGCAGGGGCATGTGAGCAATAATAACTTTGCTGGAAGTTTTTGACTGAAGCTTTTCTGATAGTTTGGTGCACAAATTCTCAGCTCCTGGAAAGAGAAAAAAAACAGCCAAAATGACACATCTAGAAGAATAAAACTATCCAGCTCCTCTCTGATAGAGTTCTGCTCCGACGGATTACCTTGCTCATCTTTGATGGCCCACACCATGAGATCCACACAGGCAGCATTGGCTTGGCATCGAAGCTTGAGCAAGCTCTGTTCCCCGGGCAACCCCGCCGTATCGTGAAGCACCCGCTGCAGCTCCGACAGGCTGCTGCTAAACTGCTCCAGGACAAAGTCGTGCACTTCCCGCACAAATGCAGGCTGCAAGGCTGGAAATACAACATGGCAGCTTGATACAGTAGTAAATGTACCACTAAAGAGCTTTAGTACATAAAAAGAACAATGTGTTACCTTTTAAGTTGTAGAGTGTGTCTCGCAGCATTTTGAACACACACACATACAGGGAGTCACTGAAGGTTTTGTAATAGAGGTTGATTCCATTATTAGACTTTAAAAGTGAAAAAGGAAGAAAGCAATGAAGAAATTATTCCATAGAAAGTGATATTTATATTTGCACTCTGCTAATATTCTAAACAAATTGCTTTTATCTAATCACCTCTGTAACTTCGGTCATAGTGGTGTCCAGAGTCTTCAATAAAGCGTCGGAAACAAAGTTTTTCACCTGTAAACCAACAAGATTTGCTCAAATTTGCAGAATGGAAATCAGCAGAAGCAAATGTAAAAAAAATAAAAATAAAAAAAAGCTACTGCACCAAGCTGAGGAGCTGTTGGAGCAGTTCAAGAGGAATCTCCACCTCACTTTCACTGGCACCCATAAAAAGAGGAGACATTGAGAAACTGGAGCTGACTGTAGTGAAATAGTAGTCAGGCTCTACCAAGCTGCTGTCTGGGACAGCAACTGTGGAAAAGAAAAATCAGAAACATAAAACGATTAGTAGAAGCAATAAGATAAGCATTACATAAATAATATAAAATAAGAAACAGTAGTTACTAATTTAAACGCATTTATTGAAGGCAGTTCTGTCAAACCACAGTTTTCTCTGAGTACACATTATAAATATTAACATAAACCCCCACAGCTCATAAACAAAGTGCATTGTAAAAGTATTTATACCCCTTAAACTTTTTTCAAATGTTATAACAGAATAAAATCAAACAGGGCATTTTATTTATATTTTATATGATAGACCAACACAAAGTAGAGCATAAGTTTTAAGTTCAAGTTCAGTCAGATTCATCCCAATTCACTTCAGTCTTGAGAAGTAGAAGATGGCTTTAATTATTATTTTAACAAACCAAAATCTAAATATGTCAAATGTATATATACACATCCCCCATCTCTCTGATTTTCTTGAAGGAAAAAAAAAATCACCGCAATCAAATACTTCCAAAAGTCTAGTTTGATATACGACTGACTCAGCATAAGTCCAGCTGCTCTTTGAAGGCCTCTGAGGTTTGTTGGAGAACAATATTTAACCAAGAAGACCAAGAGACCAGATTTCTCCACTCTGTGTCATAACTGGTTAAAATTAGAAAACAACAGAGTAGAGTGAAACAGGAAAGGTCATGTCAGGTCGACAGTATTTCAGGTATTCAAAACAAAAAACTAATCAAAAATGATCGATATTGACTGATATGAAACGCTCATATCATGACGAATGGAGATACTTAACTTTTACCTTCAAAGTTATGTAGGCTACGAGACGTGGGAGAACAAGGTGACTGGCCTGCTGGGTCTGTAAGGGTCTATCACAAAGCAAATTAAAAGACACTTCATAAATCAGGAAAATTTAAGTCATTTATGAATCAACCAATTCGACCTTTAACAGTAATCAAGTCACACAGGATACAAGAATGCCAAAGCTGTGCAAACATGTTAAACTTTTTGAAAATAAAGTTTTTCATGAATATCACCAACTTTCTATCACAACGCACACCAACCTGAACAGAGGAATCCAAGCCGCACGTTGAGCGTCTGTTCACAGTGTTGCCCTGAACCACTGACAGCAGTGCAGACGGCATGATGGAACGAAAGTCGTTGAAGGATCTGCGTCGCACGCTTTCATTTTCCTCCGTGATCTGGCAGCTGATCTGAGGCAAATCTTTGCGGAACAACTTGGACAGCAGGGCTTCTTCTGTTTGGCTGTAGCGGCCGAAGGCTCGAGTCATGCCGAGCAGACTGGGGATAATGTACCTGCACAGGAAAACTGCAGAAAACAGAGGCGCCCTTAAAGCTTTGTTTTTCAGAAACACTATCTAACAAATTGTTGTTGTTTTTGTGGAACTTGTGTATGCACCTTTGTCATGATTATCAGGGTTTTGGACTATGTCCTGAAATACCCGCATGACTTCCAGTATTGTGCTTAAGATCTGCAGAGAAGGTAACAAATAATATGTTAACACTTGTAAAAATTATAACCTGGAGTCAAAAATCATAAACAACCACTTCATTTTGAACTGACATCCAGTCGGGACCCGGGGTCTCTCTGAGCCACATCTGATAAAATTGTTACTAGACAAAAACTGAAGTTTTCTGCAAGTGGGAGAAAATCTGAAAAGCAAGAAAGAGAAACAAAAAAGTCATAAATATATATTGTACATAAAAATCAACAAGATTAAAAGACAGAAAGAAAATTATGAATATGATGGGTGAATACAAGTTCCTTATAGGAGACAGTTTCTAGCTGCTCAGATATATTACATAACATATTGTGTAATATATAACAAGTAACAGCAGCAACATCTGTTTTAGTAGAGAAACTTCAAGGCATCTAATCTGAGCTTACATACAGTATGACATGATGGTCTAAAGAAAACAATAAATGACCAGAGCACCACTGGTTTTAATGGAGTGCTAGTCCCACCTACTCCCAAACTCTGCTCTATTTTCTGTCCTTCCTCCATTCTAAACGCAGAAATCTAACTACAAGGTTATTTTCCCTCCTGTAGTTCTGATCACTGTTGCTTTTCAGATTAAATAAAACTCAATTCATGCATGTAGATAATAATTTACTCATAGTACACTGTAGATATACCAATAAGAAGTCACTGAGTTATTTTGATTTGATCGGAAGTCTGTCATATGTCATAAGTGTCGATTGTCTAAGCTAAGCTCTTTCTGAAATGTTTTCTCAGCATTTATGGCCATAAATCACTGAAATACTTACCTGCCAACAATAGTAAACTGACTGAAATAGTTAAAGAGAGTTAAAGAGTACAAAGTAGTTTATTTACAGGTTTAAAACGGAAGTGGGCTGCAACAAAATGATGATGCATAGGTAGAAACTGAGCCAGAGCCAGCCAGGAGTGGGTGGACTTTAACTTTAACCAGCCGACATCAGACACATTAAGATCACTGCCTGGAAGTGTCTTCTAAAAGGAGTCCTACTTGTACTTGTAAAGCAAAAATGTTCTCTTGGCGCTCTGCTGCAGTGGAGGTTGCTGTAAATCAAAGGTAAGAGGATTTCACATACCCTTTTCTTTCTTTCCCAACCCTTCTTCGATCCACTGGACCCGTGGAAGGCCTTTCAATAGGCTCAGCAAGTAGGGAACAATCATGTCTTTGTGCTGTGGGAGAAAAGCAAATCATTACACATCACAAACAAACCCATAAGGGAGTCCCTTAGTTTACCAAGAAAGTTCTGACAGCTCATATTTATGAGGCAGGCTTAAAATCAAACATCCGATCTGGGATCTAGTATTTAAACAACATTAAGGTGAAAGTTAAGCCATCACCTCACAGAGTAAGGAAGAGTGTCAGAGTGTGATGAGTTTGGAGGCTTATAGGGTCAGCTGAATGTCTAATCACCTTCTTAAAGCGATTATGAGAATAAGCTTATAAAAGTGATATGCATAATGTGGAGTCTTGTGAGAGAGAAGAAGCCAGAAGTTGACTGATAGTTGTTAAACGTTAAAGTGAATGCATTTTTCTTTAAACAAAAAATGAAAACAACATAAAAGTAAAGCATTACTTGTTTGTATTAGATTACCAGTTGTGCTATTTGGGATTTACCATGCTAAAACGTACCAATATTTTTTGTACTTTAAATGTTTTCATGATAAAATTTATATCTCTTTATGTCTGAAAGGAGTGAAACATGCTGCTTATGGACCTACTGGTTTAAACGTAAGTAAGACCTGAACATAAAGTGAAACTACTCTGCTAAGGCAACACGAGGCAACACCTACCTGTAGGCCAGACTCCACCAGAAACACAGAGAGCGCAATAACTGCATCTCTGCGCCGCACATCTAAAGTGAACACACCACGCACTTCTACTGGACACATACATTGCAGCTTCTGGACCTAAAAGAGAACAACAAATGAATTTAAATTTAAAACATACACCACCTGACCACAGACAGCTATACAAGAGAACTAGGACAGTTGGAAAGTCCATAAGTTTTATAATATGTTTTGTCATTAAAGTTTATCACATAAAGTTTGTGATAAAAAAAGAAAAAGAAAAGGCAGGAATATAAGAACTTGAACAACCATGATTGTGGATCATTTTTTAAAAAAATGAAGAACAGAAGTAGAGAGTAAGTACTGAGAATATCTTGAACAGCGAGTATCAAATATTTTCTAGGCACATGGTGTCATTTTAGAGCAAAATCAAGTAACTATGTTACCTTCAGTTGTTATGGAAATGTTGCGTATATCAAACATGACTTAAAAGAAATTTCACTTAGAATTTGATGCTTGGAAATTGCCATCTGTCTCTTTAAGAACACCTATGCTGTCCAACGCTGCGCCTTCCGCACATCCTCACAAAAATGCTCCTCCACGATGCCATTTGCAACCATTCTTAGAGCAGTGGACTGAACAATAGTTTGTATGAGCTATGAAGACATACAGTTCCACTGCTAATTGCTGCTGCCGCTAGTCTGGAAGAGCTGAGTGGGAAATGTGTGGGGGTGGGGTGCTCTGTGAGCCGGAAGCTCGGCTGGAAATAGGTGGCGCTTTGTATGAGAAAGTGCTTAGACACCCCTGAATAGCTGCCGCAGGTGATTCAAGGATTTCTCAAACAGGCATGAAAGAATCAAAGCAACACTCCAGGTATGTTTTTAATGAGAAAGCAGCATTGTAACCTGATGTAAAGCCCAAAAAAGTCCATTTTACATAATGCCTGCCCTTTAGATGTGCAGGAGAGGACTTCAAACAGAGCTTTATCATTAAAACAAGATATTGGTGAAAATCCAAAATCCACACTTCTGGATATGATACTGCATTAGCTACTCAAAAGAATGCTATAGGGTGGAGTATTTAATAACCAAAAAAATATAAGATTTTGAATGTTCTTTTTGTGCAGTGATACTAAAATTGATATCAAACCTAATAATTTAATCATCAAACCAGTGTTTGATGCAGTGTTTGATTAAAATTTCCCATTTTTCAGTGATTGCATTATACTTTATCAATATTAGAAACTGACCAATTAACTGCAAGAAAACTTTCATATCTTGTGCTTTCTAAGAACACACAATCTAAACTGGTTAACTATCCGTTTACCATATCAGCTTAAATACATATCCACTCTAAAGTTTACAAACACTCATCATCTGCGTGACTAATACATCATTTGAGCTTTTAGAGATATATTTAAACTTTTATTTTCTAGGATGGAATAGTTATACAAGACACAACTACTAAGAATTGTGAAAACGACAATTGGATGCTCAAGTTTAACAGCTTAGACGTAATAAAGGCTCAAACACACACCTCTGATTAATATTTGAATAAACCTTTTGCTAGTTAAAGGGAAACCACATGCTTTTACCAGCACGCTTCTGGAATAATCCTGGCCGGATATTTACACACAGCTCTTGGTAGAAAGAAGCTCCTGCTATAAAACAGACAACTGAACTTTGTAGCCCAGAGGGACAAGCAAATTTATTTTTGTGGGAAACATTTTATGACTGGATGAGAAAAAGATTAAGCTATTTGGCCAGAATAACAAGAGGGATGCTTGGAACAGCTATGCTGAGGCTTTTAAAGCTAGGACCATATAATATTAAGCGAACAGAATGCCCTTGACTTTGTAGAATATACTTAAATTTTGTGGGATACAAGAAATCAAAATATCTAATCATGATCACTGATAAGAAGAGTGATCAAATATCCAGTCAAAATTGATAGAGATGTCTACAAAGGTGAAAACTTATTTAATTTAGTATGACATCGATGCCCATGGCAAAATGTAAACGTGCCACTGGAACTCGAAACTGAATAATAAAATAATTGAATTGACAACGTATGGACTCCTGGCTCAACATGTTGGACTTATTTTACAACATGAAAGAAAAAAAATCATAAATAAACGTCGATATTTGATCTCCTCTAAAGAACAGGTCAGTAATTCTATAAGGAGTGAGCTTTTGTCAATGATCTGTAAACCTGTTAGACTGCAGCATTCATCCAGTCGGACTGCTCTGCCATTGTGATGCAGTAAATAACTCACCAGCACTGACAGTGTTTCCATCTACATCCCACCCCTTTCTCAAACGTTATATAAAAATACAGACAAGAAAACCCCGCAATAGTTACTCCTAATCACCGACGCTGACAGAACCGTCAAATATTAGCTCTGCTGACAGGTCTGTGGTCAAAATAAAAAGACTCCGCCTGTGCGGAAGCGAAACCCTGAACGCGAGCCCTGATCATTCTGAACAACTCGACTAACGTTCGTTTTTCTTTTTTCTCACCTTTTCCAAAGTGGCAGGTCTGTGGGCAGCGAGCGAGCGGGCCAGAGACAGCACTGTGTTGAAATAAAAACCTCTCGAACTGCCTCCCACCAAAGACATGTTTACGTCCCTACATGAAGCCTGCGGAATAATTTCACCAGAGAGGAGAAAGCCGAGCAGCGGCTACTAGCGCTGGGGAAGCCGCAGTACGGCAGCTCAGCGCGGACAAACCCAGCCGCGAGCGCCAGCTGTTTAATGATTTGTGATTATTTTTGTACAAATTACGCGAAATAAATAAATATAGAAAACAATAAAGAAGGTAATGTAAAAAAAATTGCAATTTAACTTTTTTTAATATCATCTTTAGTAGTGATAGTAGTAGTAGTAGTACCGCTGAAAGGGTTTATATAATATGTTTTATTGTTCATGTCTTGCATGTTTTCACCAACTATCTAATATCCCTTATACATCTTAATCCTTTAAAATGTCGTATATTAAACATTGTAAAAATATTGCTTTTTTATTTTCAGGTACTTCACATTTAATTTAATCACATTCATTAAATTAGAATATGCATTCTGGCCTGCTTGTCAGAACAGTCCCTTTTGAAAACGGACTATCATCTTTATTAACAGACATAAAGATTTCAGGCTTATGTCTATGTGTAATCTAAAAATGTATTTTTTCAGTGAATTAATAAATTACACAAATATATTACATTTGTTACCTTTCCATTAATATTAAAATGTATAAAATATAACTGAATATGTAAGCAGTGTCCCATTGCACAGCTATGAGTAGTCCTCTGTTTATCTGAGTAATTTGTTATAGTCCAACACTAAACTAAATATTTTTGGCAGTTTTTATTATTATTATTATTATTATTATTATTATTATTATTATTATTATTATTATTATTATTATTATTATTATTATTATTTGTTGTTGTTGTTGTTGTTGTTGTTGTATTTTGTTCAGAAAGGCATGTTTCCATAACAAGTCTCAATATCATGACTCGGTAAATGAATTATTTCTGACCCCTCTGATTCTGATAATTAATAATGTTAATATTTTGAATATTAAATTGTAAAAATATTTTTAAATAAATAGATAAATTATTCTTAGTCTTATAAACACCCCTTTACAGTTTGAAGGTTAAATTGTGGTCGCATATTTTTTTCAAATTCTTTCATAAACAATGACAAGTCAGGTTTCTATATTTCTGAGGGGAATAAGCAAAATTTGTGAATGTCACAAAAAATCACATTATGAAGAAATAATCTTTTAAATTTTTAAAGAAAACCTTCTCACATATGCATTGTTTTAAGTTTAGCTTCTTTCACTTTCTCCGTTTAAAGTTTTTTTTTTTTTTTACTTTTCGTCAAAAAATCGCTCCACTGGGCAAGGCATATCATATTTCTAAAAGGAAACCAGTTTTAGTATTAATAAACAGGATTTACCTCAAATGGAAAAGAAAAGGCTCAAGAGAGAGTTGTACAAGTGCCAGGAATAGCTCATAATACAATAATTAACATGATAAAACCCAGTAAAAGACATTGAATATAATTGATAGCTACAGGCATAGAAGATGAAAACTGTAAATAGATTTTATTGCTATTCTTTACTGAAACAGTAACCTACCAGAACATGTCCATTCTCATTTTTCCAGCTATATAAATCTTATTTGTAATTACTTCACACATGCTTTAATTTGAGGAGAGGCTGGTTCCAGACTGTCTGCGTTTTTGTCACGCAGTAATAGCTCTTACGATATGACGCAGCTACGTCAGCAAATGTGACAGGAAGTGCAAACCGTCAGCTGAGCGAGTGACAACAACGTCTCGGGCATCGATATTGAAAAGGTTTATCCGTTATATTGGTCTTTATTGTCATTTTTAGAATATCATTTAGATTGAATCGAACATGAAAGTAGGAAAAACGTAATATTTACGCTCCTGAGCTATAGTTTATTTATTACCGGGTGTGGCCATGGGTCATATCTGATTGGCCGCTTAGCCGTCTTTCTACAAAAGCTATCCCTTAAAAACACTAAAACCTATAAAGCTTGTCTTTGAAATACAGCTACATTTACAACTAACGATATATTTAACTGTCTTTGTCACGTAAAAGTCACGTTGATTCTGTGGAGGTTCGTTAAAGCTAATGACTTATCTTAAAAACAAATCTTAAGGTTAGCATGGTAACTTGTCATAATTAATAAGCTTTGTAATTATAGGTAACAGAGTGCGTTATGTAATAGTTACAGTGTTACTTACTGAGTTATCAACTATGTTACAAAAGTTAACTCTTTTCCAGAGTAAATTACATTGTTGATGAATGGATGTTTCTTCACATGTGTTAAACAATAATTAGTAAAATTAACTGAATGTGAATTTGTCATGTCGCTCATGTCCAGACTGATTGCTTCATTTGTTACGTCAGCATTTTGTTTTAGTTTAATACAATGCCCTTAACTTCACTCAGGAGTTTTACATAACAAAAAGCATACCAAGGGTAAAAGCTCATTATTGACTAAAGCTTATCCTGCTTACACACTAAAAGCTTTAGATAACACCATTTAGTCAAAACACTGTGTTTCCCTCACAGATGGCTTACCCTACATCCCACAACCCATTTGCTGATGACGATGAGGAAGATTTTAAGCCCAAAAGGAGTGGCTTTGAAGATGAAAGCGACAGTGGGATGACAGATGCAGAGAGGAGGCAGAAGTACCTTCAGCAGGAAGTGATGCGCACTGCACACTCTGCTGTGGACAGCTCTTACCGTTCGCTGAGCCTCATCTATGAATCTGAGAAGATCGGTGTGGAAACTGCAGAGGTACAGCCAGATGCCTACAGCAGCACCCTTCATTGCTATGAATGTCATGTTCACTAGAACTGAAGGAAAAGGACAAAAGAAACTTATATCACTACTTTGTTTTTTTCTTCCGAATGGAGCCACAGTAAATAATTTTTAAAACAAAAGTTTAACAATTATACAGACAGCCAAACCTGTGCACACAATTCTTGCTTTTAAAATAATTAAAGTTGTGTGATAAACAGCCATTGCATGCTGTAATTTTGTATTCCTCATCTTTACATACTTTTTTTGTTGGCATTTGTTTCTGTAGGAGTTGGTGCGACAGGGTGAGGTCTTGAAGCGGACGGATAAGATGTTAGACAACATGGACGAAGACCTGAAAACCAGTCAGAGGCATATCAACAGTATCAAGAGTGTGTGGGGAGGACTTGTCAACTACTTTAAGGGCAAACCAGAAACAAAGCCTACACCTGAAGAGCCAAAGGAGTATCAGGCTAATGAAAGGTAAGTTTCTCTTCCTTCTCTCCCGTATCAGTTTCTTATTGTCACTTCCCTGTTTGTTGTAAACCAGATTAGCGTGTGTCTATCAGCTCTTGAAGCTTTTGTTAAGCAAGAGGTTACTGGTGTGTTTTCAAGGAAACTGAATATTTTCTGTCGGTTTGAATTAAATCCAAATCATACCATATTGTTGTAGCATGATTTGGAAAATGCAAATTTTGTGATTTTTAAGATGAAATTTCAACCAAAGTATGTAAACATAAAAAATAAAAAAACAGAGGAGAAAAACATTACAAATTGTACATTAATCATATTTAGATGAAAAATTCATAATTTATTTGATTGTGAAGTATTTTTATGACTCTTTGACAAAGACACTGATACAACATATTAATTAAATGCACAGCTTGAAATTTGGTGAGAACAGATAAAGTCCATTCATGTGGGATTATATATTGTTTTTCACTGATCAATGCTTCCCTAACTGTCTCAGACTACAGACTGCCATGTCCGGTAGCAGAGGACATGAGGATAAGTACCAGGCCAGCCATCCCAATCTAAGAAAGTTGGATACAGGAGGTGAGAGCTGGCACAAGGAAGATCTCAGCTTGATATTATCATCAGCTGGCTGAAACTATTTCTAATTCTTATGTTTCAGGTTTTGGAGCTGCTGCATCGATGGATGACGGCTCCTCCAGACAGAACGGATACCCTCAGAACAGATACCTGAGGGATGCTCACCAGACACTTGACAGCAATTTAGGTAACAAAAATCCGTCCATTTTAGTTATTATAATTAAATTACTAGTTTTATAGTGTTTAGTATTTCTGAAAGGCTCTCTTTAAGTCATTATGTTATCTTTGTCAACCCTGAATTCTTTTTAATACAGCTTCTGTAAATGTTAAAACGTGTTTATTTTGCTTTTGGTTTTAAACGTGTAATCATAAAATATATCTTTCTATACAATATATACAATTCTACGTTAGAAAAAAATAAGAGATCCCTATAGATATGAGATAAAGATTTTGAGTTTAAATAGCACTTCTAATACTTGGTTAACGTAAGAATAATGTCTAATTTTCTCTGTGAATGACTTAGATGAGATGTCCAGTGGTTTGGCAAGACTGAAGAACCTCGGACTCGGTCTTCAGGGGGAGATTGAAGACCAGGACGACTCCATCGGATCCCTGCTTAACAAAGTGGATAAAATGGATGCCAAGATCATCAACACTAACCAGCAGCTTAAAAACCTTAAATAGGACTCATTAATTCAACATTAGATACAAACTGGCAGTGGGTCGCCCTCACTAGTGACTCATCCTCCTGGTCTTTGTCCAATAAAGAATAGACTGTTTCATTTTTGTCTTATTTTTAGTTTATCTTCCACTAGAAAATAACTGTGATTTCCTGTTTCTTTGTCAGGAATTGAACTGTGCTTTTCACATATGCTCTGTTTTTTTTCCTTGTCAACTCTCACTGCATTTCTGTCTTAATGTTTCATGAAGTGTTTTTAATTCTTTTTGCCCAGTCACCAAAGATGTGCATTGGAATGTTTCCTAATTTGCATTTCAAACAAACTGATTTGAAAGATGGAGATAATTTTAACATGTAAGTTCTTAAAATGTGTTCTTTATCTCTTTTTATGTGTTTTATGTATTTTTTTTAGCTAGCTTAAATGTGTAAACAAAACACAAGCAAGCAGAACGTTTAGCTGAAGTCACATTTGCCTTACATGTGAGGATTATGTCTCCACCGGTGCTTCTTCCCACAAAATAGTTTGCTTTGAATTTTTTTCTTATTTGATTTACACTGATTCAGTCCTGCAGAATTATTGTAAAGCATAAATAAAATCAAAAAGCTATTATATGTTTAAAAAAGCAGAAATGAAGAAATAAACCCACTATCAATATATCTACAATGTATTTTATTTCAAGGTTAGAAACATGATTGTTTCTCACAAAATTACTTTAAAATTCTGTTGATTTGTTACTTGAAAAGTGTTTAATGTTGCTAAGCAATGTGTAATTTTTGCCACATATGTCATGCATTTTAATTGAAATGATATATATAATAAAGAATATTCTTTTGGGACTCCGTCTTTCTGAATAGTTTAAATTTTGTGCAATATCAGCATTGCCACAAGATGGCGCCATACTGCTTGATCAGCTGCTAAGAAAATGTCACGTGTAATCATAATACGTTGATTAAATCTAAAAGGATGTATTTTGTGCTAGAACTGCATAAGAAAACATTTGTTATTATTTAATTACTAAGAGAGCATTTTAGCTATCTCTGTTATTAAATTATTTCACTTCTGGAGTGTGTGCCAGCTGTGCTGCTGTGAATAGATCATCTCCCAATGTTAGGCTATCCATTCATTATCATTCCTCGGTGTTAGACCAGCTGCTCCCACGGACACAACAAGCATTCATCAGCATGACTTGCTAATTACAGTATCGGCCTCCTCAACATATTTCAGCCATACAAAAGGAAGAAAACATTTTGGTGATGCCTTAAGCAAAACTCGTTTTGAAGCATAAGTGATGTAGAAAGGAGTGAACAGAAGCTGCCATTTAACTGTGGGAAACATGTTCATATTCCTATGTATTTTATGCATTGCCTTATTTCATGTCATTGTATTTTACATCTCAGGTGTAATGGCTCAGTTTAGATTTTGCTTTCATGCTTATATTGAGCTGATTTCTCAGTTTTTGATCACACCATGGTTCTGAATCTACACTTCTGCAAGTGTAAAATATTACAAGAATCCAGGCTTTTCTGCCAACACACAACTCAGTAAAAAATGGTTCATGGAGGGACACAACATCTTAGGACGCTCATCCAAAATGCTCCTGCCAACACCAGAAAAACAGGCCACATCAGCACACTCTTAATTCACTGTATTTACTTCATCAGTGACCTGTTAACCCAGTTTTGTTTGATTCAAAACTGTAATTGTTTTATTGTTGTCAACATGATACTTTGAAATAAACATGTTTACGAGGGAAACCTAAGCTCAAGGTGGAAGCAGACATCGTTTGACAGAAGTTACCTCTTGGTTCTTTCCCTTCACAACACACATGTGGACTACAGGAACGCTTTGAACAGCTGTTGGGTCAAAAGCAAACAGTGGCCGTGTTGTGACAAAAGCAGCCAGTGTTGGAATGCCTCACTTTTCAGGAACTGTAATCCCAGAACACACGGCTGTCGGACCCCATCAGGCACAGAGCCAGGGACTGGCCTACCTGCCCCTTGCTAAGCAGGAGCAAGGCAGCATGGGGGATGGACTGTCAGACTGACGGCTCTCTACCGCCATCGCTGCAGAGAGAAAATAAAGGGTTGTGATGACGAAGGGAGGTCTGATAGAGAGGTAGAGGAAGATTGAGGGAGGAGAGCAAAGACAGGAGGAAGACAGGTAAAGGAGGCAAACCACCTTTAAGAGTGACACAGAAAGCTGCAACAATCAGTTTTCTAATAAAGACATTTTTAAACATAGCGGATTTGAGATTTTGTTATCTTACGATCACAAAATCATTTTATATTCCTAAAGTGGCTATAACTGACACAGTTTTCTAATCGGAACTAATTGTACAAAATTATATCAACTGTTTGAAATGTTCTATAACATAAAGGCATTTTTTTTAATTAAGTGGGTTATGTGAAGTAGATATCAGTAGTCAGTACCTGACCAGCCACAAGCTGATTTTTTGTTTTTAGTTTAAATAAATGTGTAAAGTCTCTAAAACAGCTGTAATACCTATTTGCAGTTTATTTGATGCTGAGTCATGTCAAAGTGAGACGGATGTGAAAAAACCCCTATAAAAATAGTTAAATCATTTTTATGATTTATATCGCAGAATGCTACAGGTTATGTAGCATTCTGCCCATTTTAAATTATCTGTGAATATCTACCTCACATAAATTCAGCTCTAACTGTATTTGTAAAATCTCTATGAAGTCTCTTTTTGTGAATGGAAGGCTGAGCAAATTTATTTGTTATTTATTTTATCCAAAATATCTAGCATATAATGGGCAAGGTTTAGAGAACAGAACTGCACCTCTCATTCAGATGCAAATCATAACATTTTGGATAGACAACATGTTATGATACTTTCTGAAGTGAAGATACATGATGGATGAACACATAAAACCTTCATTTGTGGAGTATTCACATCATCCTGGCATACAGAAATACCTGCAATCAATTCCTGTGTTAGAAACAACTGTAGAAATGCCATAAACTTTGACTTCTTGTGCAAAAGCTTTGTGATTGTGTTTAAATTTGGTTTCTAAAGTCTCATGACTGTCTGAAGTTATTTCACTCATATTATGTTTGTATTTCAATTATACTGATGAGTAATGAAGAGTTCCATGCTTTGTTGCTTTGACCATGCCAGAGCTGACATCTGCAGCTGTAAGGATTAGATAAACAGAAGTCAAATCTCAGAACAGCCTGTTGAGAAACAAGTCCACACAGAAAGTCTTGTAAATGTTTTTGCTCTTCTGTCCTTGACATGAATTGAACTCTGTAAGCCAGATCTGACACTCTGAAGGATCTTCTCTGACATGTTTGTGCTCACTTGTCGTTTAACAGTGCTTTTTCCCACGACAACTATTGACATTGAAAAGGAGCAGTACTTTCACAACCATGGTGTGGATTCTCACTATTCATCTTCAATCAACAGGGAGGCAACATGTAATTTTAGATGTACTGACACATGACTCAAGCTGTCAGGTGCATCAGCGTTTTATCTGCCCACACATTACCTTCATGCACTGACGTCTCATGAATAAACCCCAAATTGCAGGAGATTGCAAAATTACAAGCACCATCTGTCATTTTGCCAGTCATCGTCCCATCTACACACCAGAAAAATGTTGAAAATGTTGGAAATTTACGTTCACAGTTACATGTTGGCTTTTATTACAGTTTCATAAATGTTGCTATTCTTGTTGCATGTAAAAACTAGTCAAACTGAGGGATATACTTACCACTGCTATTGTCACTCTTGTTACTGAAGAGTGGAAAAATGAAACATTTCAAAGAAGATATGATGCCGGAAGGAAACACACATCACTAAAACACTGTATCCAGTCATATATTCAGGATACACAGTACAGTTGTTTAATTTCACTATTAGACAGTGTATGCGGTGTTACACTAACAAAAAAATAATTAATTCTTATATAATAAATACAAAACATAAATCAAAGATGTGAGAAAGATAGAAAGTAACAGCATCAAAAACCAAAAATCCCTTTAATGACACATCAGCTTTCTTCTTAAACCAGCTGTAGCAAAAACATGGACTTATTGACTGGCTGAGTCAAATTTGTATCATTGCAGTTAATATGCAGTTTATTTTGAACAGAACATCAAGGCAATGGGAAAGAAAAACAAGACAACGTGGGAAGTTTTGGGAGGAGATTCAGTTAATTAATTGCATGGGAGTAACTTGGCTTTATGTGTTATTTATGCTGGCTGATGCTCTGTTGATTAAGCTCCCCTGTGAGCAGAGATGGTTGTGAGTGAAAACATACTTGAAGGTGGGGTTTCTTGCTGTCTGAAGAGAGATCTCATGAAAATATTTTATAAGGCTCAATTTTCCAAAACAACGTTCTGATATCTGCCTGGAAACCCCTGACTGGACTCAACTCTTGACAGACTTTCTTTGTGTGTTGTCTCTGATCTTTTAGCAACAAAATACCTAAATGGTTGGGCAGAAAACATTTCAAAAAGGACAGACAATTTTCTTGTGAACAACTTGCAAAATTTAACCATAGACCCACATTGTTAGTTGAAATAATTTATTTTTCTTAACTAACTAAATGTTTTTAACCCTTTATAGTTGAACTTGTAGTGAAAAAAGACTGTAGTGGCTGAGTAATCCTGGGTAATGTGACTTTACATGGTCTGCTAAGTTATCCCACTTAGACAGGCACAGAAAGTGGCTGAAACAGATTTACAATGTTCAAAAGAACAAATGCTTCTCCTAAGTGTTTTGTCTTCATACGATTAACTTGTGCCGCAGTGAAATAAGTTATACCAGCAAAATGATCAACAAGTCACATGAAAACAAAACCTAAACATGCTGATAAGGTAGAGAAACAAAAGATAAAGCTATGCCTTTTTTAGACAGAGCACTGTCAGAGCATTATTGTTATTATACCTTTTTGAGAATGAGCTACAGCAAAAATACCTGTTGCTGTCAGAAAACACAGACAGAGACTCCAGATCCCGAAACATTGTTGCTGAGTGAGTTAAACACTTTATCAACGAAGCTTCAGACTGTTAACTCTAAAAGAACTGGATTAGTTTGAGGAATGAAAGACATGAATACAGACCATTGTATTGAAACCATGAGGACAGACAGAAGAGGAGAGAGCCTGACAAATGTCATAACGCCGGCACCTGAGTGATCAGTACCCAGTCATCCCAATCGTTGTACTTTTTTATGAAATATTTGTAAAAATGAAATTGTAGAGCATGCATACATTTTATCAGTATTTACAGCATCTTCAGCACAGATGTTTAGACTTCTTTGGATGATCTTTTTAAACTGTGGGCAGCACCTGCTCTTTCGTCTTTAACTTTTAGATACAACAAGGTTTAGCTATAAAGGCACATACAAAGTACACAGAAACCAACACAAGTATAAAATGTATGAATAAAAATACAAGATTTTTCAGATTTATACGTTTTGCATTAGCACACACATTTGCATTGATGGAGGTAGATAGCAAAGATTCAGAGGTATAAAAATGTAGGCTCCGCAGTGGTTTTGATGTGCAGCTATGTGGCTTTTAAACTTGAAGAGAAGACGTGCAAGAATTTCAACGTGATTAATTACTAGGATATACAGTACAGAGGATGAGATGACAAGTGGCAGGATGCAGCTGTTTTCCATGAGTTGTCAGGACAGAAGGGTCTGGGTTCCCTAGCAGGGCTCTCCTCAGGTGGAAGAGGCTCTCTGAGGGCAATCAGATCCCTACAATCAGATCGGCTCAAACAAAAAGGACAGAGTAAGGAGGACAGCGGCAGTGCTCAGAAGATAGCTCCCGCATCCAGGAACCATGGCAACCAGGAGTAGATGCTACAGTCCAGAAGGTCCTGGAAAATAAAAATAAAAAATAGCAAGAGGATTAATAATTACTGTTTAAAAATACTGACTGAACTTGTTTCACAAAAATTTTATTTCTCAACAAAGTAAGAGTTTTGGCTGCAGCAAACTGGTTAAATTCCAGTTTGTCTTTTTACCTAATTCCCTCTATGCCATCTCCTGCGCAGCGATCAGAGTTTGACATGGCATCACTTTGACACTCTGCGCAGACCAGCCGCTCTCGCACCAGCTGAGCACTCCACAGCTTGAGCCTGCATGCAGCACTGGCCTGCTTCACCCTGAGGTACACACAGTAACTGCAGGAGGACAGCACAAAAAGGGAGCGAAAGGAAAAATGATTCAGAAAACCTGAGTTTATACATGATTCAAAAGCACAAAGAAACAAATATTGATCATTTAGAAACCTGTACATGCTTCTCTGTGAGAACTAAGGAAGGTTTTTTTTACTCAGCTCTCCAGCATGTTGTTCTTTGGTTGGATGTCAGTGGAGCTTCTCCAACAAAAAAGAGAAATGGAAAAAAATAACCAGATGGAGATGTTGGGACACATCTATGCTGTAAGAAATTGTAAAAAAGTCTTCCTTCTCCAAAACAATTCAGTCTAATGTGCCTAGACTAAATATAAGAGCATCAGTAACTGATTTGTTCCTTTTGAAGGTGATCCAGCAGTGTCATGGTCAACACGGCTCAGTCTGCAGACTGGAAACAATTACGGTCTTTTTTCTCCTCTAATAGCTGTGCTCTTTGAACTCCGCTCTGCTATTTATGTTGTCTGTGACTTGCACAGCTTTGACTAAACACGAGTGTCAGTGGGAGGATTCTACAACGAAAACATGAGTCTTTAGCTTCTCTATTCCCTGGATTTCACAGTGACATTTCGGCAGGCACTGCTTTCGTTTTCTTTCTAGGAAAATAAGGAGCCCTAACCCTAACAAAGAAGAAATAGAGTGCCTTCTAAAACTTTACAAAATTATCAATGTATTCGGTCATATTAAATGTAAAACTTATATTAGAAACACAAGCACAAGCACATTACTGCTAAGTGGAATGGAAGAAAAATATGTTGTTATTGTTCTAATTTTTCTATTTTACAAATAAAAAACTAACTGAAAGTGTTGCATTTGTATTAAAGTGAGAGAAATGGCAAGGAGAGAAATAATCAGTCGTCAAAAGACTAAATGTCACTCTGGAAGTGCTGCAAACATCCACTGTTCCAGTGGTAAAATCTCTTTTTAAGGAACTATTTGTGCTTTCTTCAAAAAATGTCATTTGTTGTAAGATAGCTACACAAAGTCCTTTGCAAAAATCCACGCAAAAAACAAAACAAGTGTGAATGCTCTGATGCAAACAAAATCTTTTTTTTTTTGGGGCCATTTTTTGGGCCATCATTGAAATGTTTTATTCAGTAACTTAATACACATTGAGTAAATAATTTGCATACAGCGAAGCCTTTATTTCTGTAAATCATCCGTCTACAGCTAAAACAAACTCAACACTTACTTTCTTTAAGAATAAAATATTACATCAGACAAATAAAAAAATTCCATAGAAATGTGGGCTTATCTAAATTCAGAATGAGTTGCAAGACATGAAAACTGACGTTCACATATGCTCTTCAGACAGCCTGCCACACTTTTCAGATTTTTTCTTTACAAAGTATTTTGAAAACCATGAATTAATTTTCTTTTGGGCTATGTTGTGTTGCTATATGACACAAATCCCAAATAAATTGAGTTTTGTGATTATAATCTTGCAAATACTAACAGAAGGTTTCCCATTAGACTCTAAAAATAGATTATCTTTTAGATGTACTAAAATGCACAATATTTTCTCTCTGATTTAAGTAAAAACTTGCTTCAATAGCTAATTCCAGTCGCTGTAAACCTGTTAATACCACAATAGCACACATGTTCATGCTGTGTCTCAGACTCCAAAATTTAAGACAGTGTTTTAAGAAATTTGAGGACAATTTGAGGACAAGATTAATTTCATGTCTCTTGGGTCAATTTCCATGACAACAGCAGTAATACACCAGATGTCTGTTTGAAGTCATATGTGCTCAGCTTCATTTATGAGGACTCAGAGTTCCCTGGTGCTTTCCATTTCAGCGAAAACAAAGAGATCTCATGTCCATTCTAATCAGGCTTAATAGCTCAGAGTAGACAGGAAACGAGTCACGACTCTGTTTTCTTGTTTTTGACCAGTTCAAATAGCACTGCAATCAGCTCTGATCAAAAATAACATGCAGTGAGAGGTCAGTCCACGGTACACAGCCAAAGCACAGGGAAACATTGGCCTTAGTCTGTGTTCTCTAATCTTCATGCGAAACTGATTTTAGCGTGACCTTTGAACTGACGTCAAAACTGATATGAACCAAGACAAAAATGCTGCAGCTTTGAAGAATCGTTTTCCATATTAGAATGAGCTAGAGGTAAAAGTTCACTTGAAAAATGCAGGGTATTTTCCACCAAATCGGAATGAAAATTCAGTCTTAGCCTCTGTCAAGCCTGATTGACAGAGCTAAGACCCGCCTCCGGGCTCTGATTGGCTGTTTTTAGGTAGCGCTGCGAGAACTGGGAGAAGGCAGAGGAGTTAAACTTTTTCACAGATTATCTGTCTTATACTGTCATGACATAGTGACATTTTTAACACGCATGTTCAGAAAATTTGTTACATACTGCAGCTTTAAGAGGTCAAACAACAATTATAACAAACATGATTTAGGACTCTGGGAAGCCGAAGTACCCGGAGCAGAAATCAAACATGTACAGGGAAAACCTGCAGAATCCTTTAAAATTTGAGGAACAAATAAAGATTATTTTATTTAAATGGAAAAATACAATGAGGTTGTGATATCAGAAAGTTTACTCCGTGACTCCTTAACGGCTCTTATTGGAAGCAAATGCACTCATTAGTGAGGTTGGTTGTTTACGATGCTAGAGGCAGACACCCAGCTGTAAACTGTTATGCAGCTCTATCTAAACATATCCAGAGCCTGCAGAATGTGATATTTGTGATTTCCAAACAGAATTTGAAGTGATTTTTGTCATCTAAAACAAGTCAACATATTTAAACAAACCTCCAGGGACAGATGTCACATTTTTATGTGGTTTAANTTTCCTATAAGGAGAAGTTAAAAANAACACCTCAGTTTCAACAATTATTTTTTGTTGCTGTTATTTGTAATAAAACAGAAAACAGACAGTATATATTGTAGTGTGGTGTGGCATTACCTGTCCTTCTCCTCCTTCATCAGCATGTGGGGTCGTCTCCAAGGGTCCTTGAAGTTCCTCTTGAAAGAATCAGGCAGGATTTTTGCCACCTCTAAAGTTAAGTGGTGGAGATACAAACAAAAAAGAAATCAAAGTTCAAATACATATCCATCAATAGTTTTGGCAGCACAAGAAAAGATAAAAGATAAAAATCCTAACCTTTTAGCAATTTCTTAATTTGTGAAGCTTGACATATATCTATATAGACAGCATGTTCTCATATCTTTCACGTTTGAAAAATGGCCAAGGGAAAGCAGAGTATGTGATACGTCATATTTACACCTCTCCTTGCTGGTGTATCGTGTTGGATTATACTCCTGCAATAAACGTTTAGCTATTTTTTTCTACTTTGACTTTTTGTATGTCCTTACCAGCTGCATACTGTATCTCAATCTGCTGCTCGGCCGATTGCTCAAGCTGTTTAGATGAGTCAGAGTGACACAGGCCAGTGTTTTACTCTGTTTTCTGAAGAAATGCTCTACTTGCATCAGAATTATCAGTATCCTGGTATCTTACAGTCTGGAAAACCTCTTAATAGTGAAGTCTGTGACTGAGGTGATGAAATATTCCAGCTGGATGTCGGATGTCACAACAGATGTTTGGAAACGTGTTGTTTAAACTCCTAACAAGACCTCTTGTCTAAAACACTTAATATGCAACAGAGTCTAGACAAGGAGTTTTCACATGTAGATCAGAAGCAGTCACACAGAGGTTGTACCTTTGGCATTGTCACAAATGACGTTGTTTCCGTAACACCCTCGTCTCTGTCTGAGATCTGGACAAGGGGAGCCTCCGTTCCTCGGGGGATTGGACACTTGGCGACTCCTCTCCTTGCTCCCGACTCCACATGGAGACGAGCATGACGACCAGGGACCCCATGGTCCAACCTCACAGTTGGTGGCTGCTGAGGGGTGCAGGAAATCATAGAGATATTTCACAAACAACTTTAGAGAGCTCCAAAAGATCCTCAATGAGGATAAGTTGGCTGAAGTTAGCAACAGAAGGGTTCAGCATGACTTAGTTTGATAAAGTAAACAAATCTTTAGAGACTGCAGCACATTTGTCTGTTTATCTGTATATCTAGATAATTGTTAATGTTTTTTTGTTTAACTGTTAATGTAAAACTCGTTGGCTATCAGATAAAGAAAGCAATTTTGAAGTATTATTGATAGAAATTTTATTTTTAAGCAGTTTTATAAATGTTATTCAAATTTACGGAGGCTAAGATTTGTTCCCATTTTGTCATTTTACAAACACAAAATTCAATGTAGTTTTTTTGGAGGTTGAGGTGGAGGTTCACCTTCCAGCAGAAAGACAAAACTAAACGTACAGAACTAAACAAAACCGAGAAGTTTTAAAATTGCTATTTGTAGACATTTTCCAGTGCAATCTGGCTGAGCCAAAGGAAAATGGACTAATATGTCAGTCTTGTTAGAAAACCAACCCAAAGGACGGGAAATGATCCAAGGGCCCTTAAATAAGACATGCCACACTTTCTGGGAGTTAAAGATATTCTCCTAATCTTTGCATTCATGTCAAAGTGTCTGGGTTTTAGCATTAGCTGCCACAAACACACACATGTATGTCTGTTTGTAGGTAGGCAGGTGGCATTGGGTAGCTGTTATTAAAAGTGATTTATGTAGGATCAGCTTCATCCCAGACACAGGAAGTCTGCAGCCCAGGTCATATGTGTGTGGTGGCTTTAGATAGAGGCTAATTGACATCCTGTCCCCTCTAGTTTTGCCCTTTAAACCCACACCCACAAGGGCAACATAGCACATAAACAGCAGCAGCAATTAGACTTCCTGCTTAGGAGGCTGATTTGGCCAAATTACAACAAGCTAAGGGGAAGTTGTATTCCTGAGATTGCTGTTCTGATCAAAGTTTAAAAAAAAACGATAATCAAGCCCTTTTCAGTTACCAGATTTAATGGCTGTGAGCATTTAAGGGCCTTGTTTTGAGGAGGAACCACAAACATTATAAACAAGGCAATGAGAGGCAATCAGGACCTAAACAAAAATAACAAAATCTGAACAAACACATCTACACCAGAATATTATTTTCACTTCCATGACTTGAGAACAGAAGGAGAACAGGTGCACATAGCATGATACTCTGAGAACCTTGGTGAAATGACAGAGGAGTGGATAAATATACCATAACTGGATCTAATCTCCCCCACCACATAAAGGGTTCCACTCTTTCTTTATAAAACTCATCCAACCATCAGTACAATACTGCGATTGAATAATTGTGTGTGTGTGCGCGTGTGTGTGTGTGGGAGGAAAAAGGGGCTTTTAAGGTGCCGCCAAATTTTGAGAGGAGAGAGGGCGGCGTGGTGACACGGCGGATCCACAAAGCCACTGTGGAATCTGTGAATTCCTGAACATTAGTGCTTTCAACCTGACACTTTACTTTCCCACAAAACATGTGCATACAGGAACTTACAAAAGTATTAACACGCTTAAACTTTTTTGAATTAGATTTTTCAGTTGCAGTCACAAAAAAATATGTTATTTTAACTGGATGTAACAAACTAAGAAAAAGTGGGGCACGATTAGTACACTAAAAGCAAAGAATACACCCATCCATCCATCCATGCATTCATTGTCTACACCTGGTTATCCATACAGAGACATGTGGGGCTACTGCCTAGCTATAGCAGTCAATGGATGGAGGAAGTATGCACCATGTACAGGTCACCAGTTCGTCACAAGAAATACCCAGAGCCTTCTTGCTGCAAGGCAACAGTGCTAATAAATGTGGCATGTAGATTATAATACATTTTTAAAAATGTTATTTATGCATTAAATTAGTTAAATTAGCATGAGCTAATTTAATGAATGTTCAGTGAATGTTCAGTGAGCACAATTCACAACTCTAATTGTCCTTAGACATTAGCATTGTCTGAGGACAGTTAGAAATTAGAAAACTTGTAAATTTTCATTCTATGTAAAGAATGTACACTGAGTTTTCTCACTGTTATAAGTTAGAGTTTTGGGAAAATGTCTAATTCCACAGGCAGATTATCACTTATAGCTAATACTTTTTCATTAATATTAAGGGATCATTGGCTGAAAACAAGCTCATACTGAAAAGTTACATCTAAATTAGTGGAGTCTTATCTCAAGTGTACTAAGATTTTTGTGTTTTTTTGCAGTATATTAAAACATACTTTTTTTTGCATAAGATCCCAATAAGACATTTCGAGGTTTGCTTTTGTAATGTGATATGAATAGTTTTGAAACACACCATTTACATACACATGAACACAAACCTACACACAAAGGATTGGGGAATTTCCACTTTGCTTCATCTTCATATAAAACACACAGAAACGTTCTCTTGAGAAGAATTTCAAAGATAAATGGGTGAAAAGCGTAATAACTTCCTACTTATGCCTTCTACGCCCTTTCTTATCCTGACATGCCTTTCCTTCCTCTTGCACAGAGCAGTTTTAATGTTGTTACGTTTGCCTCTTTTTTTTTTAGCAGCACAAACACAAACAGGCAGGACACTTTAGGTTTTGCTGCAGTGAAATCGGTTCTGTTTAATGGTTTAAACACCCACAGGGGGACAGAACTATTTTTACCCCACTCATCAACACACTCATGCAAACAGGAATAAGGTTTTTGTCTGGAAGCATAAACCTGTTGGCCCTTTGCCCCAAAAGCATTTTTTTAAGTATTTACAGATTAGAAGTTTTGTTTTTGCCTCACTGAAATCTACGACTGAACCTCCACTCTGAACCATAGACAATATAGCCATTCACCATAATCAGAGTAGAGGCCTACTTTCCAAATTTTATAATATTTTACTTTTAGCTTCCAAAGAAAATAGTCTTGCATATTTACAAGCTTGGAAAACTGATCTGCAAATGGAAATTCCTGAGGATGAATGGAATAACTCATGTCTATTGGCACAAACGCAAATTATTAACACAAGGTTTAGACTATTACAATACAAATGGTTATTTAGAACGTATGTCACTCCTGTAAAACTTCACCATTTTAATTCAAATATTCCTTATATCTGTGTTAAATGTAATATAGATAAGGGTACTCTTTTCCATTGTATGTGGCAATATGTAGAGCTTCAAACTTTCTGGAAGGAGGTTATTATGTTCATCTCTCGTTTGATCGAACAGGATGTTCCAGTGGACAGTAAACTTTGCTTACTGCATATTTTTCCAGACGGATTTAAAGGTCCTACAAAGAGACAGAAGCTTGTGAGTGTTTGCCTCTTGCAGGCTAAACATTTGATTGCTCTGAAGTGGAGGAACACAGAAAGACCAAAGATAAATGAATGGATTAAACTATTGAGCAACAACCTGGCAATGGAAAAGCTGACATATTTAACAAAAGGAAAGCTTGAAGACTTTAAAGATATTTGGTTTCCTTTCTTACATCTTGTCAAATACTGTGATATGTAAAGCTAATTTTTCTTTTCTTTTTGTGTAGATAGAGTGAGCCCTGGGGTTCAGTGTTCTTTTTGGGTGGGGGGAGGGAATGCATTGTATGTTCATTTTTTATTTTATTTATTTATTTACTTTTCATGGTTTTTTTTTTCTTCTTTGTGTGTGTGTGTGTATTGTGTGTGTATGTGTGTTTTTGTATGTCTGTATAGCAGAAAATTCTAATAAAACTATCTTGGGAAAAACAAAAAAAAACCTGTTGGCCCCGAGCCGCCAGAGGTCAGGAGGAAATTATCAAACTGTGGTGGGCCCCAACCTGCTCCTGGTGCCACCCACATGCTAACCCTGACAGTCTGGATCACACAGTCACCATTGTGCCCTGTTTGCATTGTGGAGGAGAAAGTCCCAGTTGGACAGCCTCACACCAACTCTGACCTCTGACCCCAATACAGGAAACAAATGGTGTTTGTTGCCCTATTTACTTAGGAAAATTCAGCTTTATGAGTTTTATGCTACAATCATTTTTCCTAAACAAATATTCCTTGAGCATTATTAAATATTTTGAGAGAAATTAGATCCCAATATTGAAGCCAGGGAAAGAAAAAAATTATTACTGTGTCAAATATGTCCTAATTATTTATTTTTTTCAAGTTATATAAGAACAATTTCTTTTCACTGCAAAAACGTGCAATCTTACCAGGTATTTTTGGTCTAGTTTCTAACGCAAATATCTGAGTACACTTGAAATAAAACAAACTAACATACAAGAAACTTTTCAGCAAGACACAGAGGCAAGCTTTAAGTGAATAATTCCTTAATACTGATTTTTTAAAAAGTCCTTGTTCCATTGGCAGATAAATTAACTTATAACATGGGGAAAATATAAGTTAAATAATCTGTCAAAGGAACAAAGATTGTTTTCATCAATATTAAGCAATTATTTACTTAAGACAAGCTCCTATAACTTCCTAAAAAGTTACTTGTAAGTTAGTTTTGACTTATTTCATGCGTTATAAGATATTTGCACGAGAAACTAGACCAAAAATACTTGGTAATAGTTTGTGGTCTTGCAGTGTTTTGTTTTGTTTTCTGTTTATGATAAGTTAGTATGATGTGATGGCTTTAAGATGAAAGTAAGTGATGCTTTTTATTTATCTTGTAATGTTTCAGCATGAAACTGAAAGTGTTGTCCTGTTAAAGAGGCGTTAAAGGAGCTCAGACAATTTGCCAAAATGTTAAATTTATTTGTAGAATTTGTCACAAGCATGAATCGCCTCCATACTTTCCCTTTTACTCCGATAAGAAGCATTGTTTTTAATAACATAAAAAAACAATTAGCTGTATCTGTTTTGTCTTCCACTAGGCCTTGTTCTGCTCCATCTGTTGCCTTTTTTTGGTTGCTTTTTGCTCCCCTTCCCCCTCTGGTTTTCTGATGGGATGCAGATGTCCAGCTGGTGTCTGAAAGGCCACGTTCTGTCTCCTTCCCAATACAGTGAGTCCCACTGGGCCAAGGTCTGACCGCTGTTAACATTTAGGAACATCAACAAAGGAAACAATAAAACCACAAGTCTGGCGAAACCTTTGATGGGGATGAATTTTTCTAATAACAGCATAAACAGGAACAGCAAACAAACCAACCCTTTAACAAGGATTAATTAAAACACTTTTGTCTTAAACTCTTTGCACTCTTCCCCAGACGTCCATAAAACCCTAAAGAATCAGAGAAATTAGTTAATCTAAGGGTATGACTTCAACACTGTCGTCATTCAAAAGAAGTATTTGTATTTAGAGACTCCTATGCTTTAACAGTGAAGTACTTAACGTCACTAAAGTCGCCTCAGTTTTGAATTCATTGCTTTATGTTCGAGGCAATAACAGTTGGGCAAGTTTAGAAAATGTTGGAATTTTAAGTTTTATCATCTGACAACATACAAAATGAACTTTTAAAGCCACAATCTGACCTATATGAGAATGTTCATGTAAGGTGAACTTGAAATATATGAACAGTAAATATGACCAGGGAAATTGATAAGGAGGAGATCATCAAGTGTTGACATGGATGTGAACCAAACGTGATTGTGATTTCCCAAAAATCAGTGGAAAATTTGAACCACATGGTGAATCTCAATTGAAATGTAATTGATATGCAAATTTGTATTTGTTCGTGCCAATAGACAATAGTTTCAAAATTATTCCAATATTATTTCAGATAAATTACCATGCTCTTTTGTTTCCTTTTTTTTCCTTCTCTGGTTTACATTTTTTCCCTGTGAACCTTTTATTTGTTTCCAGTCATGAAGCAGATGTTGGACATCAACTTTGCAATCAGGACTTTTCCAAGCACAGGAAACTAAATGAAGAGCAATGAATGCCACAGCAGCTGTGGCATTTCATGTGGAAGGGAGACTGAACAGGAAACAAGGTAAAGGAGGAGTGGAAATAAATGGAAAAAGGACGAAGAGATACCCAAGTGAAAGAAGCCAGATATCTGCAGCAGAGGGAGGCGTGTGAGTGCATTTAAGGTGAAGAACCTGTCTTGTTGTCAGAGTGAACACAACCAGAGCGCTGGAGCATAAAGGAGCCGCCTCCTCCAGATTTTTGAGGATCTGCATGATCTTTACAGTCTGTGCAGTAAAGATGAGCAATTACTTTGACTGAAAACACGCTGTGAACATGAAATTTATGACAGAACTCCTTCAAGGGGCTTTTTGTGTCAAGGGCAGATCCTCATCCAATTAAAACAGAAAAGAGACAACCTTAACAAGAACTCTCTGTTTCTGCTTCTTTAATTTTTCCTTGGAAAAGTCCTTAAATTTCCTAATGAGCAAATATAGTTGAATTGTATTGAGTTGAGTGAAATTTGACCGAATCAAAACCAAACCAACAATTCCTCATATTGGTCAAATCCAATCCTGTCAACTGAGTCTCCAGGTTATCAGGATCAGCAACAGGTTGATCTTCAAATATCACATTATTAACAGTGCGTGTGTATTTTTAAGATCAATGATTCATCTTAATATCCAGAAAAAAAAATTAACCCAAAATGTCATGAGAGCATGTCGACCTCCATCCAAATCTGTAACTCATGAGCTTTATATCGAGGAAAAATAAAACTTAATTCAGTTTAAAATTACTTTTAAAACTACTTTAGAGGCTTTTCTCCCTCCATAATTGTTTAGCAAGTATTGCAATATATACAACAACTACAAAGCTGAACATATTTCATTGTGCTTGACATTTTGTGTGATCCTTTGCTCTATTTTTAGACTTTGTGGTTTGTCTTTGAAAACCGTTTGATTGTTTTGGTTTGGCTGGTTTTGTTTCATGTTCCTTGTTCCTGTTTTATGTTCTGTCTGTTCTGAGTTATGGTTTTAGTTGACCTTGCCTGCTGGTCTGGTTACACACTTGCTCTAGTTTCTGATTACCCTAACAGTTTGAAATTGTATCTCTTTCAGGATGCATGCAGGCTGGTTGCCAGTTGTTTCTTACTTTTTGTGTTTCTGCTGTGATGCTTTGAATTTTCCTTTAAAAAATGGGATTTTCTGTGATCTGTCTCAACCTTTAGCATCTTCCATTACAGAATTACTCCTTTCCATTACTGTGTATTTTCTTTCATACAACTACAACACAAACAGATCCCCTTATAAAAGTATTTTTCCATGCGGTACAATGAGAAAAATGAAATGCAGTTCTGGAATAGATTTAGAAACCACTGCACTGATCCCCATTGAAAACCTGCTGGTTATTCCACCAAATGTTGATTCCTGATCTCTTCCTGAGTTAAAACATTTGTATTGATGTTTCTAAATGAATATAAACTTGTTTTCTTTGCACTATTTGAGGTCTGAAAGCACTGCATCTTTTTTGTTATTTTGACCATTTCTCATCTTCTGCTAATAAATACGAAATTCTTGCTTCAAATTTCAGAGACATGTCAGTAGTTCACAGAGTAAAAGAAAAATGTTCATTTTACTCAAATATAAAACCTTTAAAAAGTAAAATCAGATAAACTGATTATTTAAAGTGGTCTCTTATTTTTTTCCAGAGCTGTATTTGTTGCTTCCGGCCATCAGTAGGAAGAATTAATATTTTCAGATTTTAAAAAAATGTGTACCTTATATTATTAAATATCATGTTTACATACTAGAACCATCCAGGATGTCCTTCACATTGTTTAGACGCAGCATGCTTCCCCAAAAGATTTCATTTCAACACCCTCCCTGGAAAAAAATGCCACCGCTTTGAAAATTGTTAACTGTTTGTGTTGTAGTCATGATAAGCAGTGTTTTAGTCTTCTGATGTCACCCACTCTACGGTCTTTGAACTGCTGCAGCCGACCCGGGTTAATTACAGACTGTGTGCTCACCTGCTGCTGGATCAGAATCAGATAAGGTGTCTAGTATCAGGACACCAGAGCGCTTTGATGAAACCAATAAAAGCCGCCATGTGCAGCGAAAATGACTATGGTTCAGACGACGTTTCTAAGCCTCAGAGGACGCTCACTGAGGCGCATATGCTCTAATGGTCATGGTAATTTGGCAGTACAGGTAAATTGTACCTTGTGGAAACCACATTCAGTCTGTGAAGACAAACCGCTCTGCAGCTCCTGCATCTCATCAGATGCAGCTGTCAGAGATCCTCAGAGGAAAAAAAAAAAAAAAAACCACTGTGAAACTTGTGATCCATCTGCTGCATTTGGGAGTTTTGACCTCTGAGGAAGCAAACCTAGACAGACAGGTAATGTCAACACTGACCTGAAGTGCTTCACTTAGCTTATTCCTGTAATTTTTATGTTTGGCAAATACATGGGACTGATTAAGAGACGCCTGAAACCCCCTCAGCTGGCTTCCTCTTTCACTGACATGCCCGAAGTGTAAAGTTTTGTTTACAGCTATTTAAAGCAGCAGTGTTATTATTTTTGTCAAGTCACAAGGACTTTGTGACAGTTTGACTCATAAAATTGAAATAAAACACATTTATCTGTAGTTGTGATGTAGTAGAGCATTCCTGAATATTATCTTTAAGACAGAAATCTTTCTCACTAAAGGACATTTACTGAGACAGATCGCGTTGGTAAATTAAAAGAGGAAAACCTAGATAAGACCTATTGTAGTCTCTTAAAGGGGGTTTTGATGAATGATCTGTTGGCTTACTGAAGGTTACTGGCTCAAGTCAAAATAAAACAGTTTACACCACAGCAAAGAGACTGAACTCTACCAGTACTTGTGCTTTAATAAGAGGTTTTCTGCAGCACTTTATGAGCTGCTGTGACCCTGCAGGTGCTCGTTTTGTGCACTTAAGTCAGGGATCACATTCACTCCTCATGGGTCATTTTAACACACAACAACGTTACAACTCTCTGTCTCCTTATTGTCACACTGCAGACTAAACTCCACTGCAGTCCTCACCATCTTTGGGAGTCTCTTCCTAAGAAATCCATTCCTTCCATATATAGCAGCAGTCGAGATGATTGGGTGGAAAGAAGTGAGCCAACCATTTGTTTAACTTGTGTCTTATGATCATTCACCCCACTTTGCACTTTAAGCTGTGCAATTTCAAGCTTTAATGAGAAGGTTAAGGGTCAAAACTGCAAACCTGAAGGCAACTTCCTTTTAAAACACACACAGCAAAGACTAAATTTACCTCTCAAACTTGGAGCACAAGAGATTACTGCTGGCCTTTCGGCTACAACAGACAGCCATGATAGAGACGATGGAGACAGTTATGTGTAAAATGTCTCACAGTCTTACTGTCACCTCACTGACAGCTACCTTTGTCCATGTGGGGACTTAGAGGACCTATGAGAACACGCCTGTGGTAGTTTTTAACGTACAGCACAAAAGAAAAACATGTTTTCTTTTTTTAATTAAAATCACCTGAGACATACAAGATATTGATTAACCAAACGTCATCTGAATTATTCTATACTGATAAGGACATGTAATCTATATCTAATAAATTAGAAAATGCATTCTCAAGAGGCTCAAATTTTGAAAACTGATAACTTTTAAGCATGTATTGATTATATTATTCATTAAGACTACATTTCTGTATTAAAATATTACTTTTTTATTGGTCTGATGTAAAATTATCATCAACTGTAAGTAGAAAAGCATTATAGTTAACAGGAATGAAAGCTTTCGAACACCTGTCTGTGTGTAATGTTTCTATTTAACGTGTTTCACTTAGTAATAAAGTTCCTGAAGTAAACTGACTTTTCAATAATACTCTACATCTGTTTTTGCATATGGCTATACATGGCATTTTCCGTATTTATTTTTATGAAGTAAAACATCTGTCATTCCACACAGTTATAGGAGTGGGGGCATAAGGTAAGTACTCGCCCAGAACGTTATTAATGCTAAAACCGCCACTGAAATAAACAATTAAAAAGTTTTGAAGATCTTTGGATGTTTTTTTTATATTTTTGGGAGTCATTTGGGAGAAAATGACCAGGAAAAACTCACCAGATATTTGACACACGTGTTGGTAGTCCTCGCAGCAGTCTCTGGTTTTTTGACAGTAGCTGTCGCAGTAGCACACCGTTTTTCTCCTCGTGTACTCAAAACATTCGTTGTCTCGGCCGGGGCAGCAGTTCTGGTTCCCCCTCTCCCTGCATCCGGCTTCAGTAACCGGGATGAACTCACTGCAGAAAAACGCCAAATATCCACAAACTACGATCCCCATACGCACCGGGCTCCATCCCTGAGCTCCCATGACACACTCTGTTCCAGGACCACCTGCTCTGCACTCGCACTCAGAAAAGTTTTACTCTGACAGATGTTTCACTTGTGATGTGATGAAGCTTTCGAATAAAAACAAAGTAAAACACAGTCCACCAACATGCAATCAAGTGTTGCGTAAAACTGGATCTCTGTGCGTAAAAAAAAAAAAAACCTCTCCTGTTGATCTGACGGACACCGCCCCTTTAGACTCAAAAATAGGTGAAGAATGATGCCAGTCTGTCGTCAGGGTCCCTTCCCTCTTACTCGCTCAATTGCATTTTATTAGAACGGATTGACCCGGCCCCCAACAGTGAAATAATATTTTAACTTTACAAAAGAAAAAAAAAATGCCAACGCTCAAACCGAGCAAAAATAGTTGCACTGCGCCGATCAACATTAGATCCAAATTACGAAATAAAATTCAGCACCACGGACAGAGAAACAAATTGATTAAAAAAACAAACAAACGAGAAAACAAAAAACATACAAAGACAAAGCGTGAAGTCACAATATCCTGCAACTAAATAATTTCTACTCATTCCGTGGAAATGACAGCAAGTACCCACTGAAAGAAAGGCTGAGGGAACAATGACGTTAGTTATGCTCCACCGCTTTTCAGTGAAAGAAGAAGGTCAGAACAGGAGTTATAGATCACAGTGAAGCTGAAGACTTTTCTTAGGGAAACCTTGACATTTTGCTTCTCATTGCATTTAAAAAACAAACATCTGGTTAAAAATAAGATCTGGATTATATGCATCAATATAGATGTAACGCTTTCTTGTATGTTTTTTTTTTGTTGTTGTTTTGTTTTGTTTTGTTTTTTTCAGACTGTAAACAGGGGGGAGGGGTAATTTGGCAGTGCAGCCTCCAGGATCTTAAACGAGATAAGGAAGAGAGAGAGTGATGATGATGATGATAAAATAAAGCGAGATTTCTTAATATTAAGACTGCGAAAGAGTGCATTACCAGCGAGGCATTATTGTGTGTGCAGCTGTGTTTGGGAATTTAGAGATGGGCTTGAGCTACAGCGCCCTCTAGTGTGTTGGATTAAATTTGCAGCTTGAACTTTATTTCTATCCGCACTCACTTAGCCTACTAGTTAATTCAATTATTTTCTTAAGGCCAATAAGCCAGGATATATTTTCTGTGCCCTTGTAATAAGAAAAAAATCATACAGTACCAATTTGAAAGATTACAAGAAACTGCAAATGTTTGGAAGAAAATTAAAAAGGAAAAAAGAAACACTAAATTAATATTCACATTAGTGTGTGACAATGAGACTGAAATGTCTTACCTTCTAAATTTGTCCATATTGTACAATCTATTTTATTCATTCTGTCTGTACATTTTGTCTTACATCTGAATGTATGTACTAAGGGACAACAAAGACTATTTTTAGTTTTCCTATTTTTTTCTGATAAATTGCTAAGTTTCTCCTCAGATTTTAGTCAAATAATGTGTAAAGTGTGTGTGAGACGAGCACAGATGAGCAGTTCATTCACTCCAGAAATGTCTGTCCAAACTGGAATGAATAGCATCCTCTTTTGGTTCCCTCACCCTCCCATCTTTTATCAAAATCTGGAGAAACCAAAAGCACAGGACAACACACAAGTTGCTGAGGGAAGATTAAAAACACAAATCCTTATACAATGCAGGATTTAAATACAGACATTAAATACTGACAAAAACAATGTGGGCAGCATTTATTACACAAACATCATTTTAGTCACCCTCACAGCCTAAACACACCTACACACTTCGGGTACACACTGATAGTCTCAGAATCACGTTTTGTTTTAGACATTTGGCCACGCAGAATACAACCGCTTTATCAGGAAAAGCAGGAAAATAAAGACTTACTTTCAAAAATATTGAAATTAGGCTTTAATTTTACTACGATCATTACAATTACACCAGTTAGGACTGTCTGCACATCACAAGTAACGCGAACCACATACACCACAGCTTTAAGTTAAACATGAAATCACTGACAGATAGCTCAGACAAAGCTTTCACCATCAAACACAGCAGCATAAAGGCACATGAGTGAGAAGTAGAACCTGAATGCATTAAACGTGAACTGCTCAGGATTTAAATGAATCAAACTTTTCCTCAAAGCAAACAAAACGATCTCTTGTGATTCTTCTGCTTAGTTTTACAAAAGTCTACGAAATGTAAAGAGGTGAGACTGCAAGTGGACGTTTCCAAGGAAGATGGTTAGTTTCCTGCAAACTCTGAGAGTTTCCTTGGATTTATCTTATGACACTGATGTAAGGAGCTTATTTTATATTTAATTGCCAAACTGTTTGCATTTTATATGTTTCTAATTTTTATTTTTGTTATTTTTGTTTACTTGGCTTGTCTTTTATGACTTGAAAGAGGTCTTGATCTAAATGGGCTTTAATCTGGTTAAATAAATGTTTAATTAAAAGAAACAGAGTTAATATATGTCTGAAACTGTAAAGAAATAACTCAGGATCCACAGTTATTGTCACCCTCAGTAAAAAAATGATGACAAAAAGCCTCAGAAACAGAAAGGTTTTCACCCAGCACTCTCTGTCACAGCTTTTTAAAAATATCATTATAAATAATTTAAAAAGTAATAATTATTGCTTGATTCTTAATCTTACTGCCTAATCTAGTGGAATCTTCTATTGATTTTCCAACTTCCAAGAGTAACTAAGAAAAATGGGTCTCTGTGTCACTACATTTACACCCTGGGGAAATATAAATAATAATTCCAGACTAGAAAGTTTTATTAATCAGATTTTAAAAGTAAAACATAAATCAAATAAACACTTCTGTTTCAATTTAATGAAGGATTACATTATTTAAAAAAAAAGTAATGTGAGATTATTTATTCACATATTGTGAGACAAAAGATAAATCCTTTGATGATTTTCTTCATATCTTTTCCTGGGTTGCCATAATTCGGAGGGTTTATTGTAATACTGCAGGTATTACAATTATTTTAAAAATGACTGAATTGGGATGATTCAGGTAACTCACAGTGAAACCCAACAGGTAAAATAATCTCATAAACATTTTAATGCCATTTAATAACAGAAATGCATGACATATTTAACATATGTGGCACCTTTAACAGCAAATGGTCTTGATTAAATTTAACATTCAGCTCTTTATAAATACATTTACTTTTAATATTCAAATAAAAAGATCAACTTCAATATTTTATCTGAAATTATTTGAGTCATATATTTGTCTTTACTGTGAATAAAACTTAATTTGATTTTTGGCACAGATTTAATATATATTATATTATGCAGAGATACTTTTAAAAACATTTTATGCTACACTGTATAAAAATAACTGTCATACTCTAAATGTAAAATAAGTGTAAACACCTAAATTATTGTCGTAAACATCATTAAAATAGATTTGGACGGACAGATTGTGATTGGATTATGATGAAAATGAAGCAAATGCATTAAAAAAGCTCTTAAAAATAAATCTTAATGCCAAAAACAGCTTTTTCACAGTGATTTAACTAATTTTGTAATCTTTCTAAACTATAAAAGACCCTTTTTTCTTTACTTTGTGAGGAAGGAGTCTCGGTGTGAAGTATAAGAGCTCTGCTTCACCTCCAGCAGTTCAGATGTAAGCATCCATTCTGGCTTTTCTTTACTTCGGAGCCTCTGATTATCTGCAAATGACTTGGTGGTCAGCACATAACACAGATCTATGTCCAGCCATTCACCCCAATCTGTTCACAGCTGGTTTTATGATACAGAGGGGATCTGGAAAACCTAGATCTGTGCCAGCATTCCTGCACAACCAGCGGCTCAGTCTGTCTTCCAGACAGTGTTCAGGACCTTCACAACCTCCTCATAGATGATGAAAACAATGGCTACATCCAGACACACACGGCCGAGCCGGGGAACGGTCCCTTTGTAAAAGCTATGGGCAGAAAAAGGCAGAAAGAAGCAAAATTACGCTTTTTATCCACTCACATTTATCTTCATTTCTATGGTTTTGTTGGTGCTAATCTAGAATATTATGAAAACACACATTTCACTGTACATCAGAGGTTAATGTACACTTGAAATAAGATAAAACTAGTTTAAAGGTAACTTTTCAGCAAGATTTAGAAGCTTGTTTTAAGTCATATTTATTTTAAGAATTCCTAGTTCCAATGACAGACTTTTTCCACTTATGACAAGAAATTTTTTCCATGTAATAAGTGAAATAATCTGCCAGTGAAACTAGTACTTTTCAATTAATATTAAATAATTGTTGATCTAAAACAAGCTCTTAGATTTTACTGAACAGTTGCTTCTAAGTTTGTTTAAAGTGAGCTAAGATATTCGCACTAGAAACTGGACCAAACATACTCTGTAATATTTTGTGTTTTTGCTGTGTAGGTAATTGTAAAATAAAGCCAGTTGTTGTTTTTATGCTGTTGTAGAAGCAGAACCTATAAACCAAATGAGGTAAAAAACCAAAACTGCTAACCAGAACGCAGCCAGGGTCACCGTAAGGTCAACCTGGGCACATGAACAGGGGCCCTTTGCACAAAGGAGCCCTTTGTGTTAACGGCGTCTTTGTGATGGTAGAAAGAATATAAAATGGAAGCTCAGAATATTTGTCCAATCAGGTTAAAAGAGGAGCTGTTTCAGAATAATTACAGTTGACGTTGACCTATTACTGGCTAACGAAATGTTAACCAGTGATTAAAATTGTGAACTAGATTTGATAATGTTTAAGACAAGTGAACAGAAGAAAGTGAATTATTTTCACTGACTTAGGATCTTTTTATTTTTGTCGCTGTTTAAGATACGAACACATTTCTACTATAATGAGCCTCAGATATCTTTTTCCATATTCCACAGTGACTGTGGTGAAATGAAAGCACTGGGTCTTCCTCCCATTATGACAGGCTGCAGCTCCTATTGTATTAAACTTTAACTTGCCTGTAACAGGAGCTCCACTAACACATTTTCAACTCTTTTTTAATAATTTACTACTGAATAAATTTAGATTTTCTTCAAAAATAAAATAAAATCAGTGAGAGAACATGCTCCAAGAAGACAAATGATTTGGAAGATTATCATTTTCCTCACGAAAATAATGCAGAGGTGCTTTAAAGGAGAGGAGTCACAGCAGAGGAGTCACATTATGACAGGTCAGAGTTGGATTAAGAGCTAATAAATAATAAACAGCTCTAAACGACAGAATTATTAGTGTGGTGTTGCTTTGTTTTTAAATTATTTTGCACAATTTCTTTGTGACATGTACATTTATTAGATTTATCTGTAGACTGTGCAAACCTTGGGATGATTGTGTCATCAGAGCTGCAAGTTGAAATGTGCCTTTGATTGGCTAAAATCTAAGAACTCAACCTAGTGAAGTAAACTCCACTGGATGGTCAGATAAATATGGCTTTGATATAAACTTATGATAAATCCACATGTAATGGTTTGCCATGGTTTAGAGAGTTTGAGTGCCAAACGCTAAAAGTAAACATAATAATCGTCATAAAACCAACAGATGACCGATTACTCACGCTGCCAGGCCTTCATGTTTGAGGATCTTCAAAGCGCAGTCCAGTGTGCTTTTATATTTATGAGCTTCCAGACCCTTCAAAGACGACAGCAGGATTACATCTAATAAGCACGATTTGTAACGGTTTTCCAAATTTAAACTGCAGCGGAAGCAAAAAGCAAAGATCCTCTCCCAGTGTGTTGCAGCCACTGTGTACCTGCATCCTTGTCTTGATGACGTCTAAGGGCGTGTTTCCAAATACACTGGCTGCCCCTGCTATTGCCCCGAATGCTCCAGTAATGATGGGATTAATAGTTTTGTTTTGGTCATCACCTAGTGGCAGAAAAAGTGAGGTATCATTCAGTGGACACTTGTCTAATATCCAGACAATATACTGGTAAAAGATTCTGAGCTGTGACGTTTATGTAGTACTTAAACTTTAAATTAACATAAACACATTTGAGGAATTTAATGCATCCATACCGAACTAAATTTTCCATTTTTTGTCACATTAAAACCACAAATGTCAATGTATTTATGTATAATTTTATGTGATGTGAAAGGAAAATGATACAAAGATTACAAATCCTTTCAAATCAAAAATCTTAAAAGTGTGGTGTGCATTTATGTTCTGCCACCAAATAAATACTTTGCGATATTCACTGTAATTATAGCAAAAAAAATTTTTTTTTTCTATAATCACAGCTTCTGTTTTGCACCTCTAGAAACAAATCCGAGATGTTCAAACTCTGTCAGGTTTAATGAAGACCATCTGTGAACACCAATTCTCAAAATCTTCAACTGGATTCAGATTTGAATTTCTAGCAGTTAAAAATGAATTGATCTAAACTGGTGGAGTTCAGTCAGTCCTCAAAGGCCAGCATCCTGCAGGTTTTAGAGATTTCCTTGGTTAGCATGTGGATATTATTTTACAATAATAATATCCACAACCTTATAGTTGGCCTACCTGCTGCATTCCTTGGTCTTCATGATGCTGTTTGCTTACTAAAGTTTTATCTTCACAAATTAGAGTGAAGGTGGCTAAACCTTTGAAAACTATTTATAATTGTATCTCCACTTCAGAATAATGTACTTTTTGTGTTGGTTTCACATTAAATAAAACACATTGAAGACTTTTAAGGGCGTTAATACTTTTGCAAGGATCTGAATTCCTCCTGCAGGTGTTACCTTTACAAATGAAATTAAACAAACACAAACAGTGTTTGTGCACACTGACCTTTGTACCAGTTCTTCAAAGACGTCATTACAAAGAAGCGAATAGCCTGGTTGGAGCCTTGTTTGAGGACCGTCGCAGTCAAACCCTGATATGTCCCTCTCAGTCCTGTTCAGACACAAACACAGAGGTCAACATCGCTCTGTCCTCAGAAGAGGACAGAAGAGATATTTCCTTGTACATATTTACAAGAAAATATAGATATTTACAAGGAAAACAACTACACCGAATTACTCTTTTTATCTTATATTGTATTATATTGTGTATATTTCCAAGCTGTTACAAGCTGTGGGAATCAGAGAGAAAGAGATGAGATGAAACATTTTAAATCTTCACTGTTGCGCCTAAATCAGGATGAGCAAAGAGAAATTATCAAGATGAAGATGGTCTGGGTGTCATAAAATAGCGAGGAAGGATTTATATGGTTCAGCACTGCACGATATCATCTGGTTACATCATTTCAGGTTAATCTCTGCTACTCTTACTATGATACGTGCTGAAGGACATATCATGCTTTTTGGACACAGTGCTCACCATAAATCTAGGTCTAAGGCTAGCAATACATCAGAAATCTGATTTGGCTGTCTAGTTTTAAATAATAATGTTACAGATGCATATAAATATTACAAAAATATAAACAAAAATAAGTAAACCTTATCATTTTTGTCAGACTAGGTACGTGTTGAATTTAGTCCTGCTTCTTGCACTGTAGCTTACAGGAGATCTGAAGGTTTTCAAATTAAAAGCTTGTGGCCAGTCTGACTTTTCAATAGTTGAATAAAACAAAAGAAAACAGAAAACACCGACACATTTTTCATCTAGCTAGACGTAAACTGTCTGTGTGCTTCACCAAGAGATTCTCCATATTTATGTGTAAAACATTCAGTGGCCTCAGAACTGCGTCTGCTCTTTGGCCTGTGGCCCATCGATTTAATTAAAGTTTTCCTATTGTACTTTTATGACCACTTTCAATACTGGCTTTCTTCCAGTATTCCTGCAGATGTCACCATGGTTATGCCTGTTTGTCTCCCTGACCGGGTGGGACACTTTGGGCATCACTGCACACCAGGAGCTAAACTGGCCCAACACTTGATTCCAACTCATATTTCCAGAGATGACGATATGCTGAAAGGGCAAAACGTGTTGAAGGGTTTTGCTTTATTGTGCTGGCTGCTGTGTCTTCATTAAAGACGCCCCAATAAACCACAGCAGATCTGCAAACACCGAGCGACCAGCAGCAGCTGCCACTGAGGCCATTCCAGACAGAAAGGTGCGGTTCCAGCATCCATGCAATCAGTGAACGTCGTGCCAGCGAGTCCGTTACGAGAAAGGTTATTTATAGATGGAAATTGAATTGTGGTGACAGCAGGACGCTGCCTGGTAGGCTTCCTGAAAGGGGAGTGGCAGGCCGGGCCTTAATAAATGCAATGTTTTCCTCTGTCTGCTTGGACCGTTCACCTGCCATCGTCTTTGCTCCAGCAAAATGAATTTCTCTTTGCTGGGCTCATGTAAGCCCAATTTTATTCTCCATCTGCCTTTCTGCTGCAGTAGTTTTCTCCGCTCATTATGGCTCCACATCTGTTCGTCACGGATTCAGACGGCTTTAAGAGGCAGGTTTTCTACCGTCAGAACTTCTCTCTTTATGCAGACTAATGAATAAATATAAACAGCTTCTTAGCATTGAAATAAATTGACCACATGTCCACTTAAAGCTTGCTGTGACTCCACAGGGTGGCAGAGGCCTTATTAACTACCTCTGTGAATCAAACGTTGTTCATTAAAGGCTGCCAGAGAGAAATATGTCGGTGTCAGCCCTGCTCTTCTGCCAATTTACTCTGCTCAGCCGTTTAACATGTGGACTACACTTTATGGTTAAAATATGACACATCTTTTGGCCGACACCCGCAGTCAGAGATGAGTCAGCCCACAGCAGAGACAGACAGAGCTGCCCAATCTTCATTAAAGGGTCTTCCTACAAGGTCAGTTCTTGTGTGAGAAGAGAAGGTGAAGGATGAAAACAGTGCAGTTGAGGGAAGGAGCCACGAATGAAAGTAGAGTATCGATACGAACGGGGGGTTAATAGGAGGGAAAAGCAAGTGGCTCGATTGGACATCCATCTTGAACCTCCCTGGCAATCTTCCATGATGATACCGAGCTAATCAGCTAATGGGATGGAGGAGGAGAGCTGGGGAGGCAAAGGGAAGCGAAACAGAGGAGGATAAGAGAATAAGATAAAAATAGAAAGTCAGATCAAGTTGTGGTTAAAGGAAAACTGCCAATGTTGCATCAAATGCTTTGCCTGCACTGTAAAACATTTGAGCCGCTTTTAGTTGTGTCGACCATCTTCTACTCTTCGAGTGAAATAAGTGTAGTGAGTTTTAGATTTTTAACCTAAGCTTTTTATTAATTTTGTCAAACCTCCAAGAGCTGAATAAACCAGAGGTTTTAGGTTAGCACTTAAAAAAAACTGAAAGAAGAAAAAGACAGGAGTCTTTAGCTGGGAAATGCAGCTAAGCATTTCCCAGAATGCTTAGCTGCATGGTTATGTATCTTGACATTGATTTGGCTCTTATGTTATTAGAGCAAAAGTTCATTTTCATGTCCTGTTCAAATTAAATATCTTTGAGCTGAATTCATTGTGATGTTTCATAAAATTCATGAGCAGATCCGAAATTTTGTTCATGCAATTTGAAACAAGAATTAAAATTATTCTAAAGTAAAATAAGTAGTTATTTTTACTTGAAATTGTGAGTAAAATAATATAGAAATGTTTGCTCTTCAATGAGGTGAGGGCAGTTTTTTTCTTGCATATTGTCAAATAGTTATTTGGTTTAAATTGCAGNATNGAGATAAAACTCACAACTCAAGACTAATTAAATTAAAACACAATGTTTAGACAATTTGACTCTTGTTGTTAAATCAACTTCATGAACTTTAATTTCTGAGTTGAAACCAAAACAAATTTCTTGTTGACTTAAATTGCATTTTCAAGGCAGCATGGGGACTTTCATTTCCAAGTTAAACCACCTTCAAATGTTTTACAGTGTGTCTTACCCTTTGAGTTTCACTTGTCTTCATTTCATTTTTGGTCTAAATTGGTCTGAAGTAAGGGAGTACTTCCAGAACGGTGAAGATGAATGTCATGTTTTGAACTCTGTGTTATATTGCAAACTGCAGCAGCACAAATTAAATACATAACGATCATCTGAATCATGAGCCAACGGAAAAGATGCACAGTACTTTTTAAAAGTTGCTGCATGCACTCTATGAAATTAGTCAGGTTGTCTGTCGACTGAAATACTCCCTGAAGAAATGTTGGGGGACACATTTAGATGCACATTTGGTTGAATAAATCTGCACATTTGGTGCTGTACCACTTTTATGTCTATGTACTTATTCACATAACTATATAGAGCAATGTAATCTGAATACTGTATTTCATATATATATCCTTTATATTACATTATTACAATTTTAAAAATGTATATCAAATAGTTTTTACTGTTTATTTCCTCTTTGATCTGATTATATTTGTCATCCACAAAAAGTTTTAATTAGTATGTAAATCAAAACTAATAAAAGCTTAGTTTTGTTTGTTTTTGTCATGCTATTCTTACATTTCCTACTTTCTTGCACAAGTCCGACATCTAATTTTATAAAAATGCAATAAATGGAATAGTTTACTGTATAAAAATAAAAACAGCTCAATTGCAGCTATTTTTTATTATTATTATTAAAATTAGTTACCTTTTTTACATTATGTGGCCCCTCTCCTGTATCTGCTTGGATTAGAGGGTGAAACTGAAACTGGATGGACGATGGACGGAAAACAATGAACATCCAACTTGATTTGTTTTCCAAGACAAAATATTCCTTCAAGTTCACAAAAACACAACCCCAGCTCCCTCTGGAAATGATGCTGAAAGCTGACAGACACATGTGAATATACACACACCCAAACGCACACACACCCTCCCTGCTAATACACACAAACACAAACACACAAACACACCAAAGTCTCCGTCTCTGGAGCCCCATTGAGACCCTGTCTGAGTTTGAATGGCATCTTTGCTTCGCCTGACTGGGCCTGTCTCTCTATCATACAGACTCGCTCTACCCTCCAGCACACACACACACACACACACACAAACACAAACACGCACACACAAACACACACACGGACACACGCACACCTACGCACCTTCGCACACACTCTCTAACAGTGAAAGAATGAGAGGAACCGAGTGAAAAAATGAAACAAAAAGGCAACAACAAAAGCAGCCGGCTTTGGTTTGTGACATGTGCGTGTGTGTGTGTGTGTGTGTGTGTGTGTGTGTGTGTGCGCGTGCGTCACTGCTTGCACAAGAGGTACAGCGTGCACATTTGTCTGTAGATAAATGTCAGTGGTGGGAAAAAAATAACATAATTACTGTATGCTGAGCGCTAGTGTGGCATTTGTGCCAAGCCTTGTGGGTAATGGGCTGGAATAATTGGACTGTGTGAGTGAGAAGTTTCAGCTGGGAAACAATCACAGCTTAACTGGTTTTGTTTTAATCAGCATATGTTCACCTTGTGAATTTAAACTTAGGGTTTTATATATAATTATGGAATTATAAATGCAAATTTTAAAACACCTGAGGGGATTTCATTTAAATAATGATAAACACGTAAAGATACATAGAGATTACAAGTCCATAAAGTTAGAAGTGAAGGTTCAAGGTTTTGTTCTTTTGTGTCCAATTAGCAAAAGAAAAGGATATTTTATTCAATGTATAAAAAGAACTATACAGAGAAACCAGATTTACACACCAAATACAGTCATTTCTGATTTTACTGACCTAAGAATTGTATGAAAAATAACTTTAAAACAACATACATTCTCTAGTTTGTAAAGCAAACTCAAGTTAATTAAGCATTAGCCTTCTCAATATATTTGTTATTCTTCATTGTTTCACTCACCTGACTGCAGATTTGGGTATGGATCCATACAGCAGTGAGCTGAGTCCTCTGTAAAGTCCTTTAACACCGTGACTCTGCACCGTCTGCTTCACACAATCACCTGGAAAGAGACAGACGTTCAGTAAATTAAGAAATTAAAGCAGCTTCCTACTTATCGTTCTTATTCATAGGAACCAGCTTGAGCTGTAGCACAGAAAGCTTCTGCAGGAAGCTAGTAAAGCTGCTTACAATTTAGTTTTATAAAATCCATGGGAAGGCATCACTCATTTGAGAATGAATGAGATAAGATATTTGGGATCAGTTAAGTTGGACTGATTTATGGATCCATGCTGAGTAAATTTGGAGAATTTAGTGAGTCTACAAGTTTGAAGCAAAGTAATGTAAAGATAAAATCAAACCTTCTTTTTCAGTGCTGCTATACTGCTTTAATGTCTAAAAAGAAATTTCTCATGTAATTTCATTGACTTTACAGCTGGAGTCTTCAAATTCAATTTTGGACCAGAGCATTGAAGAGCCATGCTTTTCTTTCTCCAAAATCTCATCAGATTTGTTAACGTGTTTCATGGTCTCTCAGCTCCAAGCTTAAAATACAGATCAATTTGCCATTAGACATCAGTTCTGCTGCAAATCTGATTTCCAAAACAGAGGGCGCAAATTTTTATGACCTGTATTTTAATTTTGCCTCCTGGCATCCAAGGAGCCATTTTTATGGTCAGATTGCTCGTTGCCAGGTAGCAACATTTGTGCTGGATAATTATTGTTCTCAGCTGTTTTCACTACTGGTTTTGCTGATTATGTTTCTTTAAAATTGTCAATTAAAAACAACCACATTAAAGTCAGCGTTAGCACAAATTATTTTTATCCAATGAAACCAAAAGTTTTCCCTTCGACACCAGTCCAGAAATCTATGTGGTTTCACAAAACCAACAAGCCAGAAAAGCAACAGCTGTCTGGAGCGCTAATTAGCATCGTCGCCAATCCTCAGAGTCCCAGCAGACATCAGCAGATCCTGGCCGTGTTTGTGTGCGACGCGAGGCACCGATAACGAGTGTGTGTGTGAGCACTGGGCTCTTCCACATAAACAAGCCCGGTGACGGCTCTCCAAAAAAGGTGATGCATCTGAAGATGATGGGTAATTAGATAATAAGCGCCAGAGAAAGGAAGTAAGACGGGGTGGATACCTATTCCTCTGTATTTCGGTGGGTTGGCCTTCTCATCCAGCTGTAGCTGCGTTTTCACGTACTCTGTGGGGAAAGTGATGCAGATCTCTATGCCACCGGCGATTCCACCTGGGAATAAAGAGAGTCAGAGTAAAAACTGCACCAAGCACAAAATACAGACAATTAGCCTGAAACTGAAAACAAAAGTGTTGCTGTTTCCTGTGTAAGCTCATCATAATAAGCAATTAAATTACTTCTGCGATAAATTAAAATGATCTCAATCATTTCCATTCTGATGATTCATTTTTTTTGAAAACCAATTTTGTTTACAGGGACATCATAATCCATTTTAATCATGGTTTTAGTTGCGAGTGGTTTTTATTTCAGTTTTATTTTTTGTTCTTTGTTATGTTTTATTTTGTTTATTTTAAAATATATCCTGGTTTTAGTATAACCTGTTAAAATAAAGTTTATTGGTCTTTAAGAGGGTAACTTGCACTATTATGCCATCAGTAACTTTTTATAACAATTTTTTTTTTCTAAATCATCTTAAAAAATAACTTAACCATTATTTTGTGAAGGTAACAATACATTACTTAAAATGGTCTGAAGGAAAACATTATTTTCTTTTATCACAGTAATTACTGGGCCAATTTATCGGCTAGCAAAAATTTGTGATTGTGCCTTTAAAAAGAAAATATCATCCGTTTAACTTTTTCACATTTTGCTACCTGACAACCAGTTGAAAGTATTGCAGCAGGATCGATTGACCAACACAAGCTGGTGCGTAGTTGTGAATGAATACTTTTCTGTCTGGATCTTTTTCCTGGTGTGTTGGATGCTACCTTAACCAAGCATTACTCAGCTCCCTCTATGAATTACGTCATGGATCATTACAGTGACGCCACAAATAGCTTTTAGTACATAAACATTAAAAGCTCCGCTGCAGAGGGAGAAAGAGTAATGAGGTTACCGAGGATAAATCATCTGCTCCTGCAGTGGCTCAACTGGACCAAAAGAATAAGAAGGAAAGTCATATGAGGACCATAAGTCTGGCTGGAAAAATAGGAAATAAAATAAATGTGTGTAGCAGCAGCGAGGTTCAGTCAGAAACCAGCCACAGCAGAGATGAGTCACAAAGGAAGGAGGGACGGAGAGACAAGGTTGGTATTAATTAAATTATCCACTCAGCCAGTGGGGAGGGTCTCCATTACCCAGGCCAAGACCCTCCATTAAGTCAATGACACAGGAACAAAAATGCACACTGAGAGAGAAACACACACTTATTGTCTCCTTGAACGTCATGCACTACAACTGTACTGTTAGACGTTTTAAAGCTGTTAAAAAGATAATATTTTGACTATTTAAATCAACTAATGTGTAAACCTGATCAGTCCGGAGTTTGCTACGTCATGACTGCATTGATATCTTATAATGTGAGTTTAAATTTAACTCCAAGCTAAGCACTCAACCTGTGTCTCACAGTCTTTTATTGCTTTATTTAAATTCTGGGCATATACCGTAATGTGTCAGGCTGCATGATTGATAGAATAAAGAGTCGGAATAAATTTAGGACCAATCAGAGCTCAGACTACTGTGTGTTATGAATGAAAATCTAAAATCACTACAATATTACAACGACAGAATAGTTTCTCAAGCTCACAAATCACTTTTAATTCGTCTCGACTTTGAATGCAGCAGAAAATGAATGAATTACAAGATTTTTCACACTTATGCATCAAAGCATATATTGCTAACCTTTAATTTTTTTAAACTTAACTCTAGAAGTGGAAACAACAGCTGAGTTGTTGTTGGTTCACGACCTGCTGCTCCCGATCTCAGACCTTTTGACTCGTGCATCTCTGCTACTGACACAGAAAACCCTGATTACTCTGACAGATCGTTTTTTGTGACGTCTCCTCGTCCCAAACGTTTCCTCCTACACAGCAACTACTCTCCATCTTTCCTGTTTGTTATCTTCTCCGGCTGAAAAGTGCGGCAGCGACAGAAAAAATGAGTGGACCAACTCCGAGGCGGCAACACACACAAACACATGATCAATCCTCATCAGATGTGCAGCATCTGTAATGCAGCTTGTCCGTCTTCCAGTTCATTTTGCAGCCTGCATTCAGCACAGATTCACACACACACACACACACGCACACGTATCTACACACACGTTTACAGGTGACAGCCTAAATGAGTCCAGTGTATCTGCCAAACGTAGGTTACACAAGAAAAAATGGCCATTAATCTTTATCTGCAGACTCGCTTCCCTCTCCTAATAAATTCTCTATTCTCTTTCCTTCAGCAGCATCTTCCCTCACCTCTCCTCTTCCTCAGGTTTCCCAACACAATGCCTTGAAAATCAATACATCAACACAAACCTTTGACACTTGCTATTACAGAAGAAAGAAATTGCAACTCCAAAGTGGAGAAATCCAGAGGTGGTGGAAAATATTACAGCACCTCAGACAAATCTGCTTTAACAGACACTTTTAAAGCTGAAATATCCACAGACTGAGTGGATTTTACATCAATCTGACACACACTGTTGGAGCTGCTGGGCTGTATGGAGGTAATGCTGTCACTCTCTGACCAGACAGACAAAATTAACAACTTAATCAACAACCCTACCCTTCACATCTGGGCCTGGGCTCATGCTACAGACACACGCTGCCAAACATATGTGAAAAACTACATGAAATGTTTGAATGCATGAGCACAGAGCGTCTAATTTTAAAATCAGATCCATTAATTCTCTTGTTGTTTTTTAAAGCAATAAAAACTGTTAGTGGTGAGAATTTATCAGTGGGGAATGAAACGTGGCATCATTAAAATAAATTAAAGTTAAAAACAGAAAAAAGAAAAATCCTATTAAAGCAGCTTTAGTTTTGCTTATACCAACATTCTCCAGGTACAAAAAAATCCATCTGTGACATTTTTTACTTAACTGGACAAGTGATTAGTCCGGTTCAATAATTTACCAATAGCCTAGGAAAAGTTTTAAAGTAACTCCAATAAATAAGGCAAGACGTGAAACTAATTTATACACTACAGAATGAAAACAACCATCATGTTTCACAGGATTAGAAATTTAATAATCCATAACAAATAACAGTAACTGAGCACAGAAAACAATGTTCAGAACCACAATTAATTTTAAACATGATGTAATTTAGAGTCTGAAAAATAATCCAAAGTTAAATCAACTTGCAATATGTGTCATGTTTTATATTTTTATAGATATTTACCAAGTACTTATCTCCCAATAGAAACCAGGAGGGCCTGTTGTCTCTCACAGAAATATTGAGACAATATTGAAACATTCATATTATAACATGGTTTTAATAACAAATTTTTGATAATTATTGACTCGGAAAATAGTATATTTAATTAAATTGAGATAAGGGGAATGATTTAAAAAGTTTTCACTTCTTCCTATTCCTTTACAAACAAAACAGTAGTGGCAAATAAATTATTTTGATCTTGGTTAGGCATGTTTTCTCTACCTTACTGACAGTTTTTATTATTATTGTTTTTAAAAATCTGTTTGAGAATAAAGAAATTAAATTAGCTAAACGGACATGAAGCAGTTGGTTGAAGGGAAGAATCATTTGATGGTACAAAAATGGAGGTTCAAATTAGCAAACTTTTGCTATTTCATTTTAAATCACCATTCAAAAATAATCTCAACAGAAACATAAACAAATATATGACAAGTTAGAAGCCAGTTCTTTTCAGAACAGAGAGTAGCAAAGCAAAGTTGAGCCAACATGTATGCAGCTGACAGGGAGGATCGGCCCTGAAATCCTGCCCTCCCTGATGCTGAATATCACTAATGAGCCTCGGACACATCTGTCCCGCTATCAACTTTATGACAACTGAGCATCGAACAGAAGTCAAGCTCCAAATCCTTCAATATTCATTTTTGTGTGCAGCATGACAGAAAAGGGCTTTACTTTGCAAAACTCACATGAAAAAGACTAAAAACTGGTCTGTTTGAAGGTTTGCAGATATGCGAGGCGTCACTTTTGCAGCAGAATTGAATATTAATCCTGATCATCTTTTATCTCATACAAATCTCCAAAGGGAGGAACACGGCAGAGGAGGTCGGAGGGAAACTTGTTGTTACATCCACATCTCCAGTCCAAAGGAGCTGAGAGTGAAGCCAAAGGAATGATGCACTTCAAACATCAGGTCTCCTGTTAGCAGAACGAGAACGGCTCTGTTTGCCTTCCGCAAAGATGAAAAGAATTATTCATCTTACGCCTGGCCTTTCAGGCTTTCTCTGTCCTGAACAACACTCTCTAATTCAGCTGCTGACGCCTAATTACAGGCGGGATGTTGATTAATTTTACATGGAAACTGCTTAAACTGCTTACAGCCCTGCAGCATGGAGGAAACGGGATGATTTACAAGAGGAGGACAGATAAAGCTCCAGTTGTTTGTCTGTGCAACTAGAGATAATGCTGCAAGGCTTTAAACTGGATGAAGCGCTGTTGTTTTACATGAACGGTATTTATGCACCTTGGTCAGTCAGTGGTAACTCAGACTGTTCTGGTTGCACACAGATTTTCTAGTCATGAGTTTGTAAAAACCACTAAAAAAAAACTGGCATCAAAGTGTCATCTATGAGCCGCTGTGTATTATTTTTGCTACTTTTAATTTCTTATTTTGTTACTGAATGTGGTGATCACTATATTTTGTATTTTGATGATTAAAGGTTTGCCAAATTACTCCAAAACACTCTCGATGAAAAAAAAACAAACACAATTTTTATTATTACTTTCAAACCATTTTAAAAGTACTGCTTTCTGAACATTTTGTTGTTCCACAAAGCAACATTTGTGTTAAAACAAAGTATAATAGGAATATTTACCTTTTTTCTGCAGAGGGGATTTTTGGATGAAGTTAATTGTGCTGGTCTGCTCTCTTCTACTATTTCTTTTTTGGCACTTCTGCATCAAAGGCGATGTCTGATTACAAAGATTATTCATCTTGATTGAAATTTTTGTCATCAGTATTTACTGAAGCATATAAATAATGATAGGATAATTTTCCTGTAAAGAAGGTTAAAAACAAAGCTTTTACTTCGCTATTCTAACCTCAGTGTTCATGAGACATGA